GGGTACCCTAGGTATTAGCTAGTCTACTCTATTTATCATTTGGGTGGTTCGCGGATCACCTTCTGCTACAATGGAATTATCCCTCGCCGTAACTACCGTTAGCGGGAATCCATCGTCTAACAAGGTGCAAGCACACAGCTTGGTTTCATCCAGATGATCCTCGGATCATCTTTTGCTACAACGGAATTATCCCTCGTTGTAACTCGCTATTAGCGAGGAATCCATCATCTAATATTGCGAGGCACACGACTCTAGAGTACTCGGACTACTAATACCCATTTATTCTAGTTAGGTTATCAAACCTAGATGTATAAATCATTTCTCAATCAATTGACTTGTCTTAAACTACCCACTATACACATGATGCACGTGATGACATATTTAATCATATTCAATCAAATTCGAGTACCAACCCTTCATTCTCATTCCATACTCATGGTCAAACCCACACTCGGAATTTATCCATTGCTCACATACCAATCATGATACCCACAAGTGAGAACACAACCTTCGCTCATTAATATTGTTCATTAGTTTCATTAATATTTAAAAAAAGGTCCAAGTCCATTTACTTTAATCCAAGTCCATTAACTTTATCCTAATTCCAATGACTTTATTCAATTTCATTTTATTTAGTTCAAGCCCATTTAGTTTATTCCAAACCCATTAATTTTGTCTAAGTCTAATTCTTTGGTTTTAGGGTTTATTACCGGGCAACTCCTAATCGAGTAAATAATTTTCTAATTTTAAAACATAATTAAATATTACCCATTTTATTTTAGATACTAGACATATTTATTTATAACATATCCAAAAATTAGGTCTAAATACCAAGTACAAAATTAATTAAAAAATTTTGAAACTTAGGGAGCAATCTGCCTAATAGTAGTTTGTCTAGAGCTATCCATACTAAATCGGATATAACTCTTTGTATACAAATCCAATGATCAAGAAATTTTAAAGGAAGTTAGTTGAAACATAGATGAATAACTTTTATGCTTTAAGTTTCACCCAAAAATTGATCTAAAATCCTTGAACATACACCCCAAAATTCAGACAGAATTTACTCCTTATCAACACTAATTTATTAGTTCATTCCAAGCCAACTTTAAACATGTTTTAGTTCACTTAAATTTAGTCCAAGTTCAATCCAACCCATCACCATATACTTGGAAATTTTTCAAAACATCATAAACATCATAAATCATCACAACAAGGCATCCATACATAAATTTATCCCAAACATCAAGCATATAACCATTGAAAATTATTACAACCCATGAAATAAACACTAACAAAATAACTTAAAAAAATAATTTAAGACATTAATCAGTCAAAAAATGGAACCTACTTACCTCTTTTAGGTTTGATTAGAATTTCCTTAGCTCTTTTTCTTTCCTTTTTCCCTTCCTCTTTTTTTCTTTCCTTTTTCCTTCCTCTTTTTTCTTTCCTTTCCTTTCTCTCCTCGTGTTTTTTTCCTTTCTTTTCTTTCTTGCCTTTTCTCTCCCAATTTTTGGTACCTAAGGGTTACTAAAAATTTTCTCCCATTTTAACACTTGCTATATATATATATATATATATATATATACTTAATTTTCTTCAGCTACAAGTGTTAAAAATTAATGAGACAAGGTGTAAAAGTTATGGGTGAGTCATGAGGAAAGGTGGTCTGCTTTGGGACCAAAAAGGGTGAGTTAGCTTTAAATTCATTTATTGCATTTGCTTAAGCGTCTATATAAAATTTAGACTAATTAAACTCATTAATTAACTTAATTCAAGTAACTAAACCTACTTTCTTTCATAAAAAATTCAGAAATTTCCATTTTTAAAATTCGGAATTTCTTTTTCTCCAAAATTCTAGGAGTGTAATCTCCTAACCCATCTATACTAAAATATAAATAAATCTTTCTATATATATCCACATATTATGAAATTTTATATAGAGATAGTAAACAAATATATAAACAACTTTTATTCTTTAAGTTTTTCTCAAAAAGCAATATAACATCATCAAATAAATCTCACACGATTCGGGCAGATTCTTCTCCCGAAATTCCAGCAGAATGCATTTCGGAACAACCCTCACCATAATGGATATAAATCTTAATGTATAGGTCCAAAACTTATAACATTTTATAAAGGTATATGAAACACATAGATGAATAACTTTCATTCTTTAAGTTTTACCCAAAAATCACCCTAAAGTCCTCAAATAATTCACACAAAACTAGGGTAAAATATAGTCCTTAAAACACTGATTTTGCATATTTGATTTCTTTAACAATTAAACCATTAACCTTAAGCACAATAACTTTAATTTCACATAAATCACATATTTCAAGTATTAATTTCTCATGATGAAATGAGAATTATACTTACTCTTAATATACATATATTTATAATTATTCTAATACACGTTGCGTTACGGATAAGGGTTTTTACGGGGGTTACATATGTGATGTTATGCTCGAAATTGGGGTTTTGTGAATATTGGTTATTGAAAGGGTTGGAAGATGATGATTTGTGATGTATGAACTTTGGGACTTTGTGGAGTATAAGAATTTTGATGACTTATTGATTTACTTAGAGGTTATATTATGATTTATTTAATAATAAGAATTGATTAGCTTGAGGAGAATATTGTTGAAGTGCTAAGGAATCAAGGTAAGCATGGTTCAACTCACCACAATGACCATATATGTGATGTGTATTATGTGATTGAATGTGGTAAGTAAATATTTGATTAATTGTTATGTGTTATGTGATAATGTGTGGTGTGATTAATTGAGCATTAAAGTATATTACTCTATGCATTTACATCATGAGCATAGATTTATCTCGTTTCAAAAAATGTAGTGAAATCATTTATGCATGAAAGATAAAGGTTTTGGTAAAGGTTAAGGTTTTGGTAAAGACAAAGAGGACTAGACATGGCGTCTAATGGGGTACCCGCATCAAGGAAAAATGTATTTACACGCATCATGAAAGTTTACAAAATGTCATCCATAACCATACTTATTGGGCATTAGCTCATTTTGTTATATCTTGTGGTGTAGGTGAGGAGTCCGTGGATGTTGATGACGCAATCGGAGCGCCTTGAACGAACTCTTATGATGTGTCCTTTTGTCTAGTTTGAATGTTAGATATAAGTGACTTTAAGGACCTTTTGTATATCTTAACTTTTGCCCTTTTATTAGCCGATAAAGTATTGTTCCATGTTTAGTTCAAACATTTGTACAGTTTATGTTTTGAAGCAACATAGTTGTGTGCCTTTTTGCATTGCAAGTCATGTGTGTTTGTTGGATCAAGTTCTTTTAAGGTTATGAAAATGTGTTATGTTTGATTTTGTCCGAGCTACATTATTTATGTAAGTTATATAAACTGTAGCATCTCCCTCGCTTGGGATGCCATCTTGAATTGGTCCGAACGCGGGGTGCTACAATCACTCATATAGGTAGGTATATATCCAACAAATTGCATAATCCTTGCAACCATCAGCATAAGGTTTGGCAACAAATATTAATTACCTTAATTAATATCTTAATTAGCTTATATATGTTCGAATATTCTTGTTGAAGTTGAGAAAACGATGTGTCTTGAAAATAAATTTTGTAATGAATCAAAGGATGCTTCCTGGAAAGGAAGTTAGAAGGTTTTTGCAGATTTCAATCTGACTGTCGAATGCAAAAACTTGTCGGGCCAGTAGATGCAGTGTTTGATGATTATTTCCGAAGAAAGAGATTGAAAGGATATTGCCCTTGAAAATAACAACAAATAAAATATAATGATTTTTTTAATGAGATGGGATAAAGACTTCAATTTTTATTTTTTAATATTTTTTTTCAACATATAATGATTTAATCGGTTGTATTACTAGCATTGTTATATATATAGTGACATGTGTCATGTGGTTACAACATGAAAGTTTTTGTTGGTATACATTTTGGTCATTGATTTTTTTTGAAAAATTTATTTTGATTCCAATATTTTATTTTTTAAATAATTCCTTAAATGAAAGTTTTTTGGTCATTCTATTTTACATTGAATACAATTTAGTCTTGGAATATTTTTTTTCTATTAAATCCTTACTTATCAAATTGTAAACCTTGATCAAATTTAGTCAAATAATTTAAATAGATTGATGAACAATGTAAGAGTTAAATTGGTTGACTTGTGTATTAACATTAAATCTTTCTTTTTAAAATTTTATTTTTTGATTTTAAACTAAAAGAAATGAGGAAAAAAATTGAATATATATATATATATAACAAGAACAAAATCGAAGTAAAAGCACTTCAATAACCCAACAATAATAGATTAATACTCATAAAACTAAATTTGTCAATTTAACTCTTCGACAATAAACAAGTCAACCAATCTAATTGTTTGTTTAAATTGTATTTACAATAAAATATGATGACCTATAAACTTTATTTAAGGACTTAGTTGTATGAAAAAACCCTATCAATTTTGAAGAATTGTTTTGTTTATTCAAGGTAAACGGTGATGAAGTTAGAGTAAGGAATATCTTCGAGTTAATTATTTTGGTTTTATATGTTTCTTGGAAGGGGCCAAAAAAATCCTATCAATTTTGAAGAATTGTTTTTTTTTTTTTTTAGATTTTTTTTTCATTTCACTTTATTTTTTATTTTTATTAAAAAAGGTTTTTGTTATTTTTTTACTTTTTTTTTTTTTAAATTGTCAAACATGATGGTATCCTAGTGAAACTTAACTGCCAGACCAAGTTAAATCGGAGACTTTTTTTATTAGAAACTAATTTCTTTTTGATCAATAATTTAGGGAAATGAGCACCTTTTAACCAGTAAAATAATACAGTTGCGCCCTTCCCATGCAATGTTCTAAGATCTTCTTCTAGGCTTTAGGTATCCATACCTTGCACACGCCACAGAAGACCTCATAAATACGAGATGTTTCCCATTCCATTCAAGCGTTAGCAAAAAACCTAGCTACAATCACCATAATAATCAGCACACAACAAGATGGAGAAAAGCCCTTCAAACCCTTTTCTGTGTTTGCTCTTTTTCTTTCTTTCTTTAAAGATTTTGTTCATAAAAGTATTGGCAGCCCAGAAGACAACAGTAATTCCAGTGAGTGTAGGTGTTGTTCTTGACTTGGAATTTTTGGATGGAGATGTTGGTTTGAGTTGCATCAACATGTCACTTTCCGACTTCTACGCCACTCATGGTGACTACAAAACCAGACTGGTCCTCACCACGAGGGACTCCAAGAAGGATGTTGTTGGTGCAGCTGCAGCAGGTTAGCTTTCTCTCAACTATTGAGTTGATCTAATATTGATTTTTTTTTTTTTTTTAGACTGATGATTAACCTCCTTGTGCAAAACTTTATTGGTGAAGATTTCTTCATGCTATGAGGTGACAAATTAATGACATTAAGGATTAGTTCTCTTGGATATTAACCTCAGTATAGTACAATAACAAGTGTCAAAAGTCTTCCAAATATGGTGGCTAGCTACCATTAAAAAGTCATCTATGTGAGCTGTACTCTTTGGAGCATGGTTTGTTATTTTTTATTGACGGGGATTCTATTTGCAACTGTCCTAGATGAAACCGGGCATGTAAGCATCCCAAATGTGCCATTTTTTTGGTAAATGAAAATGGCCTTGAAGATTATGAAAAAGAGTATGAAGAGGGGTTGACCCCATATAGATCCGGTCCAACTCATTTATATGCATCTTTCACAATCACACACATTTCAAACGAATTACGTCTAGCCTAATTAGACATAAATGTGTTAGCTTTTCAAAGAATAGTAGAAGAACTATCGAACTTATAATTTAAGATGTACTAACTCATTTATTAAATTATTTACTTGTTATCAGCCACTACAACTGATGTAATAGACAGCCTTAGGTATGCTGTTCCTCTATGCATAAAATATAGCCATCAGTTGCATTATGCTCAAACTATCATTGAACAAAAAAAAAAAAAAAACAAAAAAAAAGACATAGAAATTCATAAGCCATCCAAGAGTAGAACTTGAACCCAAAACCTCCGTGGAAGCTATAGACCAAATCTAAACTACTTGTGCAAATTCTTGGTGGGTGAAAAGCAAATTAAAGAACTTATGTTCACGTATATAATATCCTAGAAGTTGGACTCACGGTATGAGAAAGGAAATAAGAAATAGTTAGAGCAGAAGGGAATGATAAGAGGACATGATACAGGAACGGATAAGAGGCTAGAGGAGGTGGGCTGATTTTTAGGTTGGTGTGTCTTCACTTGGTTTAGGTGGCAGCAGGTGAACAGAAATAATTCACAAACCCCAAATTCAAGGATTATCCATTAATTTCTTCCTCTTTCTCTGCTGCATAATCACTATATTCCAATTTAAAATGAAGTACAATATAGTCATAAATCTCTTTGATTAACCTTTAATGATATAATTGACCAATAAGAGTTTTTTTTTTTTTTTTTTTTTTTCTTAATGGTGTTCAAAATGCAGCCCTGGACCTGATAAAAAATGTTGAAGTGCAAGCAATCATAGGGCCAACAACATCAATGCAAGCCAGTTTTGTTATTGATCTTGGAGAAAAAGCTCAGGTGCCCATCATATCTTTTTCTGCATCAAGTCTTTCTCTAACTTCCAACAGGAGTCCCTACTTCTTTCGAGCAACACAAAATGACTCAACTCAAGTGAATGCCATAAGTGCATTAGTTCAAACCTTTGGATTCAGAGAAGCAGTACCCATCTACATCGATGATGATTACGGAGAGGGAGTCATACCTTATTTAACTGATGCTTTGCAAGCAGTTGATGCTCGTGTCCGGTACTGGAGTGTCATTTCTCCATCAGCCACTGATGATCAAATTGTTGAAGAGCTTTACAAGCTGATGACAATGCAAACTAGAGTTTTCATTGTGCACATGTTTCCATCTCTTGGTGCTCGGCTTTTTGCCAAAGCAAAAGAGATAGGAATGATGAGTGAAGGCTATGTTTGGATCATGACTGATGGTCTAACAGATGACTTCTTGAGTTCGCCAAATCCTTCCGTCACTGATACAATCCAAGGTGTATTGGGTGTTAAACCTTTTGTACCAAGAACAAACGATCTCAAAATTTTTGAGATCGGTGGAAAAGGAAATTCCAACAAGATAATCCAGATATTGTTGATACTGATTTGAACATTTTTGGATTATGGGCCTATGATGCAGCAACGGCATTGGCCTTGGCAGTTGAGAAAGCTGGTAATACAAATTCTGGCTTCGAAAAGGCAAATGGTTCTAGCAATTCATCAACAGATCTTGCAACTCTTGGGGTGTCTTTAAATGGTCCAAACCTTCTTCAAGCTTTATCAAACACTGCTTTCAAAGGCCTTACCGGAGATTACCTTTTTGTTAATGGGCAGTTACAGGCATCAGCGTTCCAGATAATAAATGTGAACGGAAATGGGGGAAGAGAGATTGGATTCTGGACACCAACCGAAGGAATTGTCAAAACACTAAACACAACAAAAAATATGACTGCATCCTCAACATCGAATTCCGGTCTTTCAGCTGTAATATGGCCGGGTGATACAACTTCTGTTCCCAAGGGTTGGGAGATTCCAACAAGAGGGAAGAAGTTGAGGATAGGAGTGCCCGTCAAGGATGGTTTCAGTGAGTTTGTCAAAGTGACAACAGATCCTATTTCTAACACTTCAAAAGTCACCGGATACTGCATAGATGTTTTTGATGCTGTAGTCAAAGCATTGCCTTATGCTTTGCCTTATGAGTACATCCCCTTTGCCAAGCCTGACGGCGAGCCTGCTGGAACTTACAATGACCTCATATATCAAGTGTATTTGAAGGTACAACATTCAAGTTCTATTTGAAACATGATTAGCCCCAAATTCATGCATGCAAATCTGATTTTTATTGACATGTTCTTTCTTTTGCATTTGTTTGTTTCTATCAACAGAATTTTGATGCTGCAGTGGGAGATACAACTATTATTTTCAACCGATCCCTATATGTTGATTTTACTTTGCCTTATACTGAAAGTGGTGTCTCCATGATCGTCCCTATTGTCGACAACAATAGCAAAAATGCATGGGTTTTCTTGAGGCCTCTGACATGGGATCTCTGGGTGACAAGTTTTTGTTTCTTTATTTTCATCGCATTTGTGATCTGGGTTCTTGAACATAGAATCAACGAAGAGTTTCGAGGGCCTGCCTCACATCAAGCTGGCACTAGCTTCTGGTTTTCCTTCTCGACAATGGTTTTTTCACAGAGTAATTTTCCTTTCTCTTTTCCTTTTGATTTTTCTTCTCCTATTTAAATACTCTTAATATATAGGTTACGAGCATCTCAAACACCAAATTGACTTAATCTTTATTTATATTTTGAACTATAATTACAGGGGAGAAAGTGGTTAACAACTTGTCTAGAACCGTGGTAATCATATGGTGTTTTGTTGTGCTGATCCTCACGCAGAGTTACACTGCCAGTTTAACTAGCCTACTCACAGTCCAGCAGCTTCAGCCTGCAGTTAATGATGTCAATGAGCTCATTAAGAAGGGGGAGTTTGTAGGCTACCAGGAGGGTTCTTTTGTTCAAGGAATCCTGCTAGGCTTAGGCTTCGACAAGTCCAAGCTCATTGTGTATAGTTCTACAGAAGAATGCGATGATCTTCTATCCAAAGGAAGTGGAAATGGTGGTATTGCTGCTGCTTTTGATGAAGTTCCATACATGAAGCTCTTCCTGTCAAAGTATTGCTCTAAATATACCATAATTGGTCCTACATTTAAAACCGACGGTTTTGGCTTTGTAAGTTCATCAACCCTCTCCATATCTTTTCCTCTCTCTTGTAAGTTTCTTAATCCTGATGCTTGCTGGTTTGTGTTGTGACTTTCCAGGCCTTCCCTAAAGGTTCTCCTCTAGTACCTGATGTATCAAGGGCAGTTCTAAACATGACCGAGGGAGATAAAATGAAGGAAATAGAGAATGCCTGGTTCGGAAAACAAAGCAATTGTCCCGCTTCCAGCACCTCGGTTACATCTAACAGCCTCAGTCTCAAGAGTTTCTGGGGCTTATTTTTAATTGCTGGAATAGCATCACTGTTAGCTCTTATTATATTCATGGTCATGTTTGTTTACCAGGAAAGGAACGTGTTGAGTTCCTCTACTTACAAAGTTTCCGTAAAGAGTAAAATCCGCAATTTCTTCAGGATCTTCATTCAGAGGGACTTGAATTCCCATACTTTCAGAAAAAGTTAACTGAATGGCAGAAGTGACATTAGTCTGCCTTGTGTGGCAAGCCCATCAGCCTATTCAGTTAGCACTTATTTCCCTGGAGATGAAGATCAATCCTCTAGCGAGTACGGTGATTCCACCCTAGACAGGCAAGCATCTCACAAGGTAATAATGAATATTGATCAGCTTACCAACCCAAATCAAGAAAGGCTAGCAGCTTTAGAAATAGACCATGAAACTTACAAGCCAGTAGATATAGTTGCAGCATTGTAGTGTAATTGTAGGCCAGCAGAGGCCCCAGTTTGGAGAAGCAATAACTTACAAACCAGGGAGATAGGGGGAAGAGGAAGAACTAGGATCTGTGGATGGAATTGGTGTTGAAGGATCTAGGATCTTTAGATATTGAAGTGGATTTGGTTTATGGTCGAACTGAATTGTGCCGGAATATCTATATAGCTGACTCCAACTAGTTTAACATCTAGGCTTTCTATTATTCTATTGTAATGTAATTGTAATTGTAATTGTAATTAGAATAATATTCATGTTTCAATACACCATGTTTAATATTTTGACGGTCTGTACACATTTTTCTCATTTCCAACTATTAACTCAAGTGGTGAACTGGATCATGGAATCTGGCTCTCTGAATGGCTTCAGGTTCATCGAGATACTAATGAGAGGCCATGGAGATTGCATAATGTTTTTATCATTTTATGTGTATGAAGTGGGTTCGCTTTAGTAGAATTAACGTAAAAAGTAGCAGACAGAAAATGTTATCTTGCTTGGCTATAGTATTTTTCTTTTTGTTTTGTAATATTTTTTCTCTCATTGTTCAAATGACTTACTTTTCTTTTTAATCTAATCGATTTTCGTTGAAAAAAAATATCCATTACGTAGCATAACGGCCATTATATAATTGTTTTGGAATACCTCATTACCGTTATTTGATGTTATGAGTACCTAATGTCGTTTCATGCGTATAATGGCAAATAACGACGTCATCGTTATATAACGCCGTTATTTGCCATTATATAATGGCATTATACATAATAAAAAGAAGAAGAAATCAACCATTTCAGTAGTTGAATTTTAGCCATAGAAGCAAAGAGGCAAAGACCAAGAGTGACTCAACCCTAGCCACCTACAATATAGTCGCTACCACCTGAAAACCGAGATGCCATTAGATGTTGAAATCCCTTTCTTCTTTTCTTAGAGGGTTATTGAAAACCCAGATGCCATTAGAAGTTGAGGTTTCTCTAGAATCTTTTTTTGTTTTCTTGGAGGGTTACTAAAAACCCAAATGCCATTAGAAGTTGAGTTTTTCCAATAATCTATTTCTTGTTTTCTTGGAGGGTAGCAAAGAGGAAAGAGAGACTTGGAGGCTTGCAAAAAGAAAAAAGAGAGTGAGTGAGAGAGGGAGAGTTTCTTTCTATTATTAAGCTTTTTATTTTTTATTTTCTTGTGAGGTTGAAATTGGTTCTCATATAAGGGAGAATGTCGACCCTTGATTTGTTTTATCTTATGATGTTCAACGGTGGTTATTGAATTGTAAGTTATATTAAGCTCTTTCTTCACGTGAAGTCACAGCTTTTGTACTTATAGGATATGATAGAATCAAATACATTTTATCTTGGAAAAATATTAAATTAGTCCTTTTATTTGGAGGAAATAAATTAGTTAGTTTTTTTTTTTCAAAAATCAATTATTTAGTTATTTTTTCATTTTATCTTCTAATTTTTTTAAAAAACCATAAATTTATATCATAAAAAGATTGATAAAAAAGAAAAAAAATTATAGAATAAAATATATTACATTAAAAATGGTCAATATTGAAAAAAAATAATTAGTTTTTGAAAAATTAATAATTAATTAATACATTTATCAACACTAGAAGGACTAATGTATAATTTACTTCAGGTTTCTTTCTTGCGAGTGCAACAAATTCAAAGTCCTACAAATGCCAGCTTTAATTGATTAAATTATTAATCAGTCCCTTTAGTTTGGAAAAGTAAAGTAGTTGGTCTTTCTTGTTTTGAAAACTAATTATTTAGTCATATTTTTCAATTTTATGTTATTTTTTAATTTTTTTTCCTTTTAAAAAAATAGAAAAAATAAAAACATAAATTTACATCATGAAAAGATTGATGAAAAAAAATTTGTAAAATAAATTATATTAGATTAAACATAATCCATACTGATAAAAAAATTAAATAGTTAATTTTTGAAACATAAAAGACAAATTAATTCATTTATCAAAACTAATGGAACTAATGATAATTTACTCCCTCTCCAAATTACAACCTTTGAATTTGATTCGATGCAATCAAATGATGAAAGAAAAAAAAAATCCTTTCCCAAGTTAAAATATCGTATAATTTTCAACTTCATTGGTGTCTTTATAAAGTTATTAGAGATCAACTATGAATATTGAACTCTCTCTCAAGTTAATTTTAAATTTCTCATTTTCTTAATAAACCACATAAAATATTTTAAATATTTGATTAGAAAGTAGATAATTCACAAAGATAATTCTCAATTCAAATTAATTTTATAATTTTTATGTGATATTAATCTATTATAAGTGTTATTATTATTTATTTTTTTTTGTAATAAATTCAACTAATGTGGTGTGATATTAAACTATTAGAAATGTTCTAGTTAGTATACTTAATTAGTAAAACGGTTAAAAATACACCAATTAGAATAACTTTATTAATAGTTGCTAATGTATTCACAACATTTGTTAACACGATAAGTCGCGATCTATTATCATGATCGCAATCATTTTTTAAATTGCAACCGTTATTTAAAACTATGGGCAATAATACAGAATTGTTCGAACCTTTTCATTTCGGTTGTGTTGAGGTTGAAATGCATTTCTTGCACTTTTTTTTTTTTTAATGAGCTTGGGGCGCTGTTAATTCACATGTTTGCTCTAAAATGTTGAAGTTGTGTCATGTCTGGGTATGAATTTTTTTATTCATTGGGAGGTTAGTTTTGTACTGTACTATATAATAAGGATAATTCTCCTCCATTTTATAATGACCAAACAAACTAGAATTATTAGGATTCAAATCTGTTTCATTGAATCAAGATACCGAATTCACAATTGTTAGACTATAGCTTGGGTAAAATTGAAAACTTTTAAATCAATGGCACTAAATTCTTGACTCCCGTATATTAGAAGAAGTCGTTCTATGTACATGTTCGTGTACTTTTCAACCCCACTCCTCACGTCCTTATAACTAGAATATACTTCTCCTCAGTCATTTCCAAGCATTATTTCCTACACAATTTCCTTGTGTGTATACTTTTCAACCCCTACGTCCTTATAAATAAGAGATCCTTCCTTTCCAGCTTAGACCAAGAAACTGGAATCGCCTCAAAACTAGCTAGGTACACAACAAGATGAAGAACAAGTACCCCTCAAAGCCTGTTCTGATCTTTTTGTTTCTTTCTTTAAACATTTTTTCCATAGAAATAGGATTGGCTCAAAACGAAACAGCACCTATCGGAGTGAATGTTGGTTTGGTCTTAGACATGGGATTTTTGGATGTCAATATTAGTTTGAGTTGCATTAACATGGCCCTCTCGGACTTCTATGCCACTCATGGCCGTGACTACAAAACCAGACTAGTCCTCACCACTAGGGACTCCAAGAAAGATGTAGTTGAAGCAGCAGCCGCAGGTCCCTCTCTTACCTCTCCATTTCTTTAATCATCTTGTTTCCTCTTATTGAAACACTGATTGCTTATTATTTTTAATTAGCTGATAATGATCATTAGCTAACCTCGTTGAGTATGCAACATTTAATGGTGGAAATTAAGGAAATTCTTTTTTAAACAGGTAATTAAAATGTAATAATGCATATGAGATTTACAAGAAAATATACTGTTGTATGCTCCTTTTTGGTATATATATTGTATATTTGTTCATACTGAAATCGTCATTGATTTACATTCATAACTTTAGTTTTTTTTCCTCAATTTACGTTCATGTTATACTTAAATTGGAATTGATAATGTTGAAGAGTCATCTGAACCAAACCATTAAATTGAAGAGTCAATTTCTATGGAATGCGTACCCACAAATTTTCTTCGTTTCTAGAGCATGAGCCTGGCCATAGAAATTGAAGTCAACTAAAAATGTCTGTACTAAAACTTATTTGATATTTGACTAATAACAAAATGAAGAATTATAGCCAAGTTGAACTTTCTACGCTTGTTATTTGACTGACTCGTAAGGAAGATAATATACATTTCACACTATTTTTTTTTTCCTTAATTCCCTTCGAAATAATTTTTTTTTCCTTAATTCCCTTCGAAATACAGCCTTGGACCTGATAAAAAATGTGGAAGTCCAAGCAATCTTAGGGCCTACAACATCAATGCAAGCCAATTTTGTTATTGACCTTGGAGAAAAAGCTCAAGTGCCCATCATATCATTTTCTGCATCATGTCCTTTTCTTACTTCCAAGAGGAGCCCCTATTTTTTACGAGCAACAAATAAAGACTCAAGTCAAACGAATGCCATAAGTTCTATAGTTCAAGCCTTCGGATGGAGAGAAGCAGTACCCATCTATGTTGACAACGAATATGGAGAGGGAATCATTCCTTATTTAATTGATTCTTTGCAAGCAGTTGATGCTCGTGTCCCCTACCGGAGCGTTATTTCTCCTTCAGCCACCGATGATCAAATTGCTGAGGAGCTATACAAGCTGATGACAATGCAAACGAGAGTTTTCATTGTGCACATGTTTCCTTCTCTTGCCGCTCGGGTTTTTGACAAAGCTAAAGAGATTGGAATGATGAGTGAAGGTTATGTTTGGATCATGACTGATGGGTTCACCAATGTTTTCTCTAGTTCATCTGCAGATACTTCTGTCATTGATAAAATGCAGGGGGTATTGGGTGTTAAACCTTATGTACCAAAAACGAAAGAGCTCGAGAATTTTCGAGTTCGTTGGAAAAGGAAATTTTATCAAGATAATCCAGAGATTGTTGATGCTGAGTTGAATATTTATGGACTATGGGCCTATGATGCTGCAACAGCTTTGGCCTTTGCAGTTGAGAAAGCTGGAACTTCAAATTTGGGCTTCCGAAAGGCAGATGTTTCTAGCAATTCATCAACGCATCTTGGGGTCTCCTTAAACGGCCCAAACCTTCTTCAAGCATTATCAAACATTAGCTTTAAAGGTCTTACAGGAGATTACCTTTTCATTAATGGGGAGTTAGAATCACCAGCTTTGCAGATAGTTAATGTGAATGGCAATGGAGGAAGAGAGATTGGATTTTGGACTCCAACAAAAGGACTTGTGAAAAACTTGATTTCGACAAAAAATATAAGTTCGGAGTCAATATCATTGTCTGGTATTTCGACAGTAATATGGCCTGGGGATACTACTGCTGTTCCCAAGGGTTGGGAGGTTCCCACAAGTGAGAAGAAGTTGAAAATAGGAGTGCCAATGAAGGGTGGCTTGAATCAGTTTGTAGTAGTGACCAATGATTCCAATTCCAACACCCCAAAAGTCTCCGGATTCTGCATAGATGTTTTCGATGCTGTAGTCAAAGCATTACCTTATGGTTTGCCATATGAGTATATCCCCTTTGGCAAGCCTGATGGCGAGCCTGCTGGAACTTACGATGATCTGGTCTATCAAGTATACTTAAAGGTAGAAATTCTATCTTTTTCTGTAATTATAACTATTCATGCACATTGAGGCAAGAGTAGTTTCTTAGAAATTTTTGTCATTTCCTTTGTTTCCTGCCAACAGAATTATGATGCTGTGGTTGGAGACGTTAGCATTGTCTTCAACAGGTCCTTGCACATCGACTATACGTTGCCTTTCACGGAAAGTGGTGTCTCCATGATTGTTCCTATTGCAGACAACAATAGCAAAAATGCATGGGCTTTCATGAAACCTTTGACATGGGACCTCTGGGTGAGCAGTCTTTTATTCTTTGTTTTCATTGGATTTGTTGTCTGGGTTCTAGAGCACAGAATAAATGAAGATTTTCGAGGGTCTCCGTCACATCAAGCGAGCACTAGCTTCTGGTTTTCCTTCTCTACAATGGTTTTTGCACAACGTAGTCTTCCTTTCCATTATGAATTTCCCTTCTCTTGTTGAAGCACTCCAATATATATACATATAAATTGACTACTTTATGGTTTTATTTACAGGGGAGAGAGTGGTTAGCAACTTGTCGCGAGCAGTGGTAATCGTATGGTATTTCATTGTGTTGATCCTCACACAGAGTTATACAGCCAGTTTATCTAGCCTACTTACAGTCCAGCAGCTGCAGCCTACAGTTACTGATGTTCAGGAGCTCATTAAGAAGGAGGAGTTTGTGGGCTACCAGGAAGGTTCTTTTGTTCTAGGAATCTTGTTAGACTTGGGGTTCGACAAGTCCAAGCTCTTGGCGTATAGTTCTCCCGCACAATGCCATGAACTTTTCTCCAAAGGAAGAGGAAAGGGTGGCATAGCTGCTGCCTTTGACGAAGTGCCATGTATGAAGCTCTTCCTGTCAAAATATTGCTCCAAATATACCATGATAGATCCTACATTTAAAACTGGCGGTTTCGGCTTTGTAAGTTCGCTTTCCTACCTTTCTATTTCCATTAATTGTCTCCATGGCTCACTAGTTAGAGTTTAGCTTTATACTTAGACTTGGTTTTTTTGCGACTTTCAGGTCTTCCCTAAAGGTTCTCCTCTAGTTCCTGATATATCAAGAGCAATTTTGAACATTACTGAGGGAGATCAAATGAAGAACATCGAGGATGCATGGTTTGGTAAATATAGAAGTTGTCCGGATTCCAGCACCTCAGTTTCGTCTAATAGCCTTAGTCTCGAGAGTTTCTGGGGATTATTTTTAATTGCTGGAATAGCTGCACTTTTAGCTCTCATTATCTTCATAGTGATGTTTGTTTACCAGGAAAGAAGAGTATTCTTGAGGCCCTCTGATTCAACCACTTCAATATGGACTAGACTTCGACATTTGTTTAGCATTTTCAATCAGAGGGACTTGACATCCCAAACTTTCAGAAAAAGTGAAGTGAATGACAGAAATGGAATCGATCTTCCAACTGTGGTGGCTCCAAGTCCATCAGCCTATTCAGTTCATACAGAATTTCCTGGAGATCCATCCTCTGCAGAGTATGATTCCAGTCCAAATAGCCAAGAACCTCAAGTGGTAGTGATGAGTGCTGATCAGCTTAATAGCCAAGCAGCTCAAGTGGTAGTAATGATTGCTGATCAGCTTAGCAAGCCAAATCAAGGGAGGCCAGCAGCTTTTCAATTCGACCATGAAAACAATTAGTTTGTTTCTAGCTAGTCATGTTTCCTTTATCTTTCTGTACTCTAGCTAGTTATAATTTTGGTGTTTCATGGTATAGACTGGCTATTTTGGCTTGTGCGTTGTAAATTTTAACAAAATCTAAATCAATAATTAATCTAACCAACACTTTTTTTAAATCTAATTATTTAACAAGCACTTCAATACTATATATAACACATAGATTTTATGAATATTAAACAATTAATAATAATAATAACGAATATATGCACTCTTTTATAATATTAATGTTGTTAAACAATTAATAGATTTTTTGTTTTGTAAACAAATTGATTAATATTCCTAACTTTTATTCATATCTTTTATGTATGATAAAAGGCAAAATAGTTCAAACATCTCTTAAATTTTAACTTATTTGAAAATCAATTTTTTAATTTTTAGTTTTAAATTAAACCTTCTTTTAATTATTTTTTTATTTAAAATGAATATTTTCTGTTAAGTTTTCATCGATCCTAACATGTCTTGTATGTGATTAAATTTTTTAACAATTAAAAATATATCAACTTATGGATGCTTTTTTGTTTCAATTTTTTTTTTTTTTTTATGAAATGTTCTTTATTGCTTATTTTTTTAGTATTTAGGAGAGAAGAAATAAGTTTTGAATATATATGTACACTTATATGTTAGAATTGATGAAAAATTAATAAAAGAATCTAATTTTAAAAAAAATTAAAAAAACCAACCTAAAATTATGAATTATAATCTAATCCTCAAATAATTTAAAATTCGTAGAGGCAGTTTATGGATGATAAAATGTTTTGAGACCCCTGAATTTGGACTTTGTAATGCCCATCATCTCGTTTTTCTTCTAAACTTTGGGCTATTTTCTTTCACCATGGACCAAGTACACAAACAACACTAGTTTTGATATTCTAGGTATCAAAAGGCCCATGTTGAGCTGGTTTTGAGGCCATCAAGGAGGTCCCCTCTTGTTGGTTCCTTGGGCCTGAGCAATCTTCTTATCGACCTCACGCTAAACTTTATTCTATTTTTTTTAAAAAAAAAAATATTATTGTATTTTATAATTTTAAATAAAAAATTGTTGACGTTTTAGGCATCAACAAGCCCTTATTGGCCTGGTTTTGAGGCCATCAAGTTTGAGGTCTCCTCTTTTTGTTTCTTTGGGCCTGAGTCATCAGCTTATCGGCCTCATGTTAAACTTTCTTGTATTTATTTATTATTATTATTATTATTTTATGAACAACCTTCGTGTATTTTCTTTCTTCGTATAAAATATATATAATTGAAGTCAACTTGAAATTGCTGGACTAAAACTTGCTTGACAATTGACTTGATTTTGAAGATTATCCATCAAATGAATATTTTTGGCCCAGTTGAACTTCTGCACATTCAACTTTACTACAAAGACGATAATTGGTTAAAATATAAGTTGTACAGATATTAAAAGTTATGTACTCCCGGCCAACTTGATTTTGAAGATAATATATTGCCTGCAATATATTGATTTGATAGAGCTAAAATGACATATTTGTGTATATATTCTGCCTCGGTACAACTATGCTGCATTGCTTACTCTTTCAATGCAACATTCCATAACCATATACTTTATTCTCGCAAATACAGCTCTGGACCTGATAAAAAATGCGGAAGAGCAAGCGATCATAGGTCCGAGTGCATCGATGCAAGAATATTTTGTTATTGAAGTTGGAGAAAAAGCTCAAGTGCCCAATATATCATTTTCTGCATCAAGTCCTTCTCTTACTTTCATCTGGAGCCCCTACTTTTTTCCAGCTACACATAGTGACTCAGGTCAACTGAATGCCATAAGTGCTATAATTCAAGCCTTCGGATGGAGAAGAGCAATTCCTATCTAGTTGACAATGAATATGGAAGGGGAATCATGCCTTATTTAACTGATGATTTGCAAGCTGTTCAAGCTCGTGTCCCCTACCAGAGTGTCATTTCTCCATCGGCCACTGATGATCAACTTGGTGAAGAGCTTTACAAGTTGATGAAAATGCAAGCTAGAGTTTTCATTGTGCAAATGTATGGCCCTCTTGGCACTCGGCTTTTTCAAAAGCAAAAGAGATTGGAATGATGAGTGAAGGCTATGTTTGGATCATGACTAACGGTTTGACAGCTGATTTGTTGAGTTCACCAAATTCTTCTGTCACTGATAGAATGCAAGGGGTACTGGGTGTTAAACCTTATGTTCCAAGAACAGAAGAGCTCAAAGATTTACGAGTTCGGTGGAAAAAGAAATTCCAACTAGATAATCCAGAGATTATTGATGCTGAGTTGAGCATTTGTGGACCATGGGCCTATGATGCAGCTACAGCATTGGCCATGGCAGTTGAGAAAGCTGGAACTGCAAATCTAGGCTTCCAGAAGGGAAATGACTCTAGCAATTCAACGGATCTTGCAACTCTTGGGGTGTCTTTAAATGGTCCAAACCTTCTTCAAGCTTTATCAAACACTAGTTTTAAAGGCCTTACAGGAAATTACTTTTTTGTTAAGAGGCAGTTGCAATCATCATCTTTCCAGATAGTTAATGTGAATGGAAATGTAGGAAGAGAGATTGGATTTGGGACACCAAAAGGACTATTGAAAAAGTGGAATTCGACTCCTTTGTCTGGTATTTCGACAGTAATATGGCCTGGGGATGGTGTTGCTGTTCCCAAGGGTTGGGAGGTTCCCACAAATGAGAAGAAGTTGAAGATAGGAGTTCCAGTGAACTTGGATGACAACAATATGTATTTGTCTGTCAGAAAAGATCCAAGTTCTAACACCACAAAAATCACCGGATTCTGCATAGATATTTTTGAAGCTGTAGTCAAAAAATTACCTTATGCTTTGCCGTACGAGTACATCCCCTTTGCCAAGCCTGCTGGAACTTACAACGATCTGGTCGATCAAGTGTACTTGAAAGTAAAACTTTCTTCTTTTTCTTTTCCTATAAGTAAACACATCAAGGGAAAACTGTTTTTATGACCATTTGTTTCCTTTCATTTAATGCTATCAGAATTACGATGCGGTAGTTGGAGATGTTACCATTCTCTACAACAGGTCCTTGCTCGTAGATTATACCTTGCCATTCACAGAAAGTCGTGTCGTCATGATTGTTCCTTTTGTAGACAACAAGAGCAAAAATGCATGGGTCTTCTTGAAACCTTTGACCTGGGACCTTTGGGTGACAAGTCTGTGTTTCATTGTTTTTATGGGATTTGTGGTCTGGGTTCTTGAACAGAGAATAAATGAAGATTTTCAAGGTTCTCCTTCAAATCAAGTTGGCACTAGCTTCAGGTTTTCCTTCTCAACGATGGTTTTCGCACATCGTAATCTCCCTTAACATCTAAGAATTTCATTTTCCTGAGGAATTACTTCAATATATAAATGGCTAATGTCTCCAACATCAAATTTACTACTAAAAGTTTATATTTACAGAAGAGGGAGTGGTTAGCAACTTGACTAGAGCAGTGGTAATTGCGTGGTGTTTCGACGTGTTGGTCCTCACACAGAGTTGCACGGCCAGCTTTATGAGCCTCCTCACAGTCCAGCAGCTGCAGCCTAAAGTTGCAGATATAAAGGAGCTAATTCAAAGAAGGGATTATGTGGGTTATGAGAAGAATTCTTTTATTCTAGATATGTTGTTAGAGTTAGGGTTCAACGAGGACAGGCTTGTGGCATATACATCTTATGAAGAATACGAGGGCCTTTTCTCCAAAAGAAGCGGACATGGTGGTATTGCTGCCGCTTTCGGTGAGTCGCCGTACGTGAAGGTATTTCTGTCAAAGTATTGCCGTAAATATACAACGGCTGATCGTATATTTAGAACCGGTGGTTTTGGCTTTGTAAGTCCACCTTTCCTATTTCTCTGCATTGCTCATTTAGGAGCATTAATTGTTGCATACCTATACTTACTTTCATACTTTCAGGTCTTCCCTAAAGGTTCTCCTCTTCTAACTGATATGTCAAGGGAAATTTTAAATATAATTGAGGGAGATACAATGAAGCAAATTGAGGACTCATGGTTAGGCGAACAAAGCACTTGTCCAGATTCCAATACCTTGATTTCATCTACTAGACTTGGTCTCAAGAGTTTCTGGGGTTTATTTCTAATTTCTGGACTAGTTTCAATTTCAGCTCTCATTATCTTCACAGCTGCATTTGGTTACAAAGAAAGAACAGTACTCTCTGATTCCACAACGTCAATATGGATTAGAGTTCAAAATTTGATAAGAATTTTCAATCAAAGGGTCTCCGTCTGAAGTGACATTGATCGGCTTCGAGTGGGGGTGCCAACTCCAGCAGCCGAGTCAGTTCACACAGAAATTCATGGAGATCTATCCTCCCAAGAGGATAATTTGAGTCCAAATAGGGAAGCACCTCAAGAAGTAGAAATAAATATCGATCAGCCTACCAACCCAAATCAAGAAAGGCCAACAGCTAATGGAATAGACCATGACAACAATTGACTTGTAGATTATCATTTGACCATTGTGACACCATTCTCGTCTCTCGATCCCACTGTCTCACATTGTCCACTAAAAAGTTGCTAGCTTTTTTTACTTTCAAACATCAACCGCCCTTGGGCTACGGCTCTAATAATAATAATAAATAAATAAACAAACGTCAACCTTCCTTCATTAGATATTAAAATTCCATAAACAAAAGGAGTTCAGTCCCTCGCTTTTCTCATCCTCTATCCTGTATGTACTTAGGTAAACTGTTGAGAAATTCCCCAATATCTTAGGCTATTGCACAATCTATGGTGATTGGGATTGGGGCTGGAATTAAGTAGCAGACAAGAAGTAGGTAGGTAAAGCTTGCAGCACTCTACAAATGAATTTGAAGTCAAGATAACGATGTGTATTGAAAACAAAGTTTTGTGACATAACAAAGGATGCTTCCTGGAAAGGATGCCACAGAAGTTGACGTGAGAGTGAAACCTTTTACCGCTAATACCTCAAAGGTTAAGGAATCTGATGCTAATGTAACTAAAGCTTGAATATTCAATAACCAGTAACCACAAGTACTTTGATTTAGTCAAGGTAAACGATCGGTATAAGGCCAAACCTGACATATTTGGCGCAACTAATAATTCATTAGAGTTAAATGCTACCAATAAATCTAAGTGCATCTATTTTACATGTCATCTTAACATGTGTTTGTGACGAAAGATGAGTTAAAATTGATTAATTAAATTGAATCCAAATGAAACTAAAATACTTGTCAACAGTCTTTTTTTTTAATTATTATTCGATAATTACCGGTATTATTGTATTAGCTTACATGTCAATTCATATTAAATCTTCTCTAAATAATCATAAAGATTTTAAAAGAAAAAAATCATCATGAATGCTTTTTTAACGAAGGGACTAATAGGGTTATCCATGCGGATACATAATTAATTTTCAACAAAGCTAATGATATATATATATATATATATATACACACACACACACACTTAGTAGATTCAAAGTATATCGTATAAACAAATATTAAAAAAAAAACATCTAAATTGTATGAAATATATTAAAGTCAATAAATTAAAATAAAAATACTACAAAATTGGTTCTCATAAAGTTTACTTCTTAGTCTATGATGAAAGAGATACTTGAATTGCAAATTAAATTATAAATTAGTTCACGTCATTTTGAGAAATGAATTAATTAATTTTTTTGGTTTCAAAAATAAATTATTTTTTTTAATCGGTGTTGACCATGAATAATTTATTTTTTATTTTATAAATTATTTTTTCATATTTTTACCTATTTTTTTATTCTTTCTCTATTTCTTAAAACAAAAAATAAAAAAATTGAAATAGCAAAAAGGGCAAAAAAAATAGTTTTTGAACCAAAAGGACTAATTAATTTGTTTCTCGAAGAAAGAGGGACTAATTTACAATCACTCTAGGCTTTGGCTTCTTTGTCGAAAATAAGAAGAAAAAAAAACCATTGGAAGAACACGGGAGAGTTAAATGCTTAATCTGAAAAAAAAAAAAAAAAAAAAAAGGAAATGAAGAAAAAATGCCAAAATAGAAAATTAAAAAGAGATTCAGTCAAGGGTCGAAATGGAGTTTTTCAAATCCATTGAGTGGAAAAAGAGAAATTAACGAAAAGCTAGGGGCAAAAAATCAAGCAACATAATAAATGGTGAATTTAAGTCTAAAACATTAGTAAATGAATAGTAAATATCTTAGTTCTTTTTTTTTTTTTACTAATATATATTATATTAAAAATAAAAGATAGAAATTTTATTTAATTTCATAATTTTTAATCAAATTTTGTATTTCATTCATTTTTCTTTATGTTTTTCATAGATTTTGTCGCTAAAAAAACACGATTCATTTTTTTATTCATTTTTTCTTAAATAAAAACCTACAAAATATAAATATAAAATTCAATATAAAATTTCAAAAAATGTCTTAATATTTTTTTCATGAGATTATATTAGAGAAATATATCAACAATCAATATAAAAATTTGTATAAAAATTAACTAATGAATCTTTTTAAACTTTTTAAAAATATGTTCATTTGATATATAGACAAACACATATGCTAAACAATCAATAATACTAGGTATAAAAATATGTATTTGAATTATTAGGTGGTTCTTTTAAAATATTATTTTATTTAAAATAAATTAAATTTAGAATATTAAAAATAATTAATAAGAAATAGTTGATGTTATATGTATAGATACATAATTAATTTTTAATAAAATCATTGATCTTCATACTTTTTTGTATACATCATAGATTTATAATTGTGATTAAAACAAAATATGTTTCATTGACTTGTATGTCATGTATTAATGTGATTGAAGTATAAGTGAATAATATGAATGAGTCGACCTAATTTTTTAGAATGTATACTTGTAAATTTTTAGTTGAATAGGACATGCATATTTTCCATTTTCTATTATTTTGATGTATTTCTCTTCTTATCTTACTCTTCTCGAATGTAACTTAAGGTTTTTTATTCAAAGAAATGTAAGAGTAAAAGATAAAATACTAGAATAGATGTAAGGAGAAAAAGGCAAGAAGAGAAGACAATCTCAAAGAATTTGTAATAATTTTTCACCTAGGTATTTGACCATCTAGTCTTCTTGTAGCTTGATCAAGAATACAATTTTTACCTTACGGAATTAGATTTTATTTACATGTTTATTTATAAGTTTTGGAGTCGTCACCTAGTATTAAGGAATTAGAAACTTAAAACTAGCACTAGTTCAAATATTCTGTGGTAAAGAGTTAGTTACGCTTATGGAAAGATATTTATTCACCCCAAAAATGCCCTTTTCGAATAAAGGTACCATATCTAGTTTAATCCTCAATTTGTCTCCTAAAGTATTTTATTTATACCAAATTATTTTTTTATTTTAAACTTCAATTTTTAAAACCAAATTAATTTTTTTAGTTTTGGGTATGGCATCGTATCGAAACAATCGTCGGGCGACATATCGATTCAAATATCGGATTCACTTTAAGCCTCGACACAATCGATGTGTCGGAGAATATCCCGATTATTAAATGATGATTTTTTTTAACGATCGTCCCTATCAAATAGAAGACCTCATCATAAAATCTTATTTTTTGATCAAACAACGACCAGTTATCAGATATAAGACTTCGTTGAGAATTTTCATCATTTTGTATATTTTTTTATTGTTTGTCAATAAAAGATTATCATCAATCCCTAAAGATTAGGAGATTTGACAATCCTCCACCTATTATTTAATTAACCTAAGTATTAAACGAGATAATGTAAAGTTATATTGATTAAGTAAATTAAAGACAATTAAAAATATGAAAAATCTAAATTAATAACTAAGCATGAATAAAATAAATAAATATTAAAATTACCTTAATTAAAATAATTATATGCAACAAATTAAAAATGATAATCACCTTAATTAAAATAACTAAAGATAATTAAATATCTAAATTAAATACAAAATGCTAAACATGTATAAAATAAAAAATTTAAATTATAGTCAAACATTTTTTTTTTTGAAATTCTCTTTTTCCTTTTTTATTATTTTTTCTTCTTCCCTATTCCTATTTTTTTACTACTTATTATTATTATTATTATTTCAGGAGAACCTCTCTTCTTTACGTTGTTGTTTTTTGTTTTTTTAGGGGAAAGGGGCTTTTGCCCTTTTCTTTGGGGAAGGCTGGACTGTCTACAGTCCAGACTCTCTCGTTTTTATCTTATTTTCTTGGGCAGAGAGACTGAAATCAATCCAGCCCTCTTTCGTTTTTTTTTTTTTTTTTTCCCCCGGGAGGGAAGGGCTGGGCTGGACTGATTGCAGTCCAGCCTTTGTTCCACGAGGGTTAAGGCTTGGCTCAAGCCGCATGCTTTTCTTTTCTGGCTAAGGCAAGGTATAGCAGCACAAACCCATTTCTCCTTTTTTTTTTCTTCTTTCGATCAAATTGCCTCCTACCTCTCTCCCTCTCTAGCTCATCTCGCTCCGAAACTCTCCTCTCTCTTCTATTCTGTTCTTCCTGCTTCTCCTACTCTAATCACAACAGCTACAAACTAAAAGTTTTTCCTAAATTTCTATCACATGTCGCAAACACCCAAAATTGCAATTTCACAATCCACACCACCCTAAGGATGAATTGATAACAGAACAGGGGTAGGAAGGAATTGACATAGCAAATCATTGGGCATTACCTGCGTTGTTGCTGTGGATGATTTGGAGGGGATTGATTTTGAACCGGGATGATCCACCTTGTGTTGTTGTCACTGTAGATTTTGCAGAGGGAAGCTGAGCAGAACCGAAGGAATGGAAGATAATTCTTTTTGGACCTTGTTGCTGTTGCTGATTTTGCAGGGAACTGGAAGACTGGGACTCAATGATTGAGTTGTCGTTGTTGGGTCTGGTGCTTCTGAATGTCTTTTAGCATGCATAAGACTGGAAAATGAGGAGGGTGGTGGATGATTGTGGGCTTGCGACAGGTTGCTTGGCCTTGATGAATTGGCTAGAAAAAATGGGTTGTTGGTGTTTGAATTCCGTAACCAAAAGATGAAACTAGATGTTTATAGAAACGGGTTTTTGGTGTTTCCTGAATCCAAAGGACTTGAATGAAAACAAGGAATTGAAGTCAAAACCCAAGAACTCACAGACTGCCCAGAAGCCAAATCCAGAATCTTGAAGAACAGTGAAGAACGAACGAACACTGCCCAGAATTCCTAAAGAGAAAACCCAGAATTTTACGAATTGAGCCCCAAATCCCGGAAGTGAAGTTGAGAAACCTGTGGGGAGTGAAATGGAACCTAGAAAAAACCGAAAACTATGGACTGACACAAGGCCTGCAATTGAAGAACACCAGAAACAGTATAGCTACTGCCCAGAAAACCCAGAAAAATGCAGCAACTATTTCCCCTAAAGTCCTTCGATTTTCAACCCTTTTCACTCTTTCCTATCTACCCAGAATGCTTCCCTCTTTGTTTTCCGATCCCCTAAGCGAAGAACGCTTTTGTCCAGAATTTATGAACCTGAAGGACACTGTCCAGAAGAAAAACAAATGCAGAAAAAACAAAAAAAGAATTGCCCAGAAAATGACAAGCCAAATTCCCTGCTAACAGCCTAGAAATCCGCTACTTTGTTTTTTGATTTTTTCTCCCCCTCTTTGAACCAGAATCAGATCCTTTTATAGGTCAAAAGTGGTTCCAATCTCTCTCAAAATCCATTCATTCAAACTTCAAATTTCGGTTCTCAGATTTAAAACTCAAATTTCAATTGTTAAATTTCGATCTTGATGGATCAGTGATGAGTTCAAAATTCAAAAACAACACAAGTACCTGAGGATTCGGACAGATTTTCAAACGATTTGAGAGGGAAATCTGGGTTGGCGTGAACGACAGGTCGTTCTCTCATTCAGTCCTGTCGTTCGCTCCAACATTCTACTTTGGTCCCTGAACATTTCAATTATCTGTAATCATGCCATTATATCGTAATTTCAGTCATGTAAAGAATAATTTTTCTCAATTGGTTCTTATGAACAGTAATTCAAGTATTGAATTTCTCAGTTGACTCAATTGTGCCCCTAAATACTTTAATTACACTTTCCTTTGATGTAATTGTGTCCCTTGAAATTTTTTTTGTATTTTCTATTTTTTTCTTTTTTTGTATATATATATTTTTATACCTTTTTCCTAAAATAATTGAAATAAATTAAATAACAAAAACTATAAAATGGAAGTGATTTTTTTGGTTATGACAAATGGCACTAAATTCTCAACTTCCATATGTTAGGAGTCGCCCTTCTATATACATGTTCGTGTACTTTTCAACCCCACTCCTCACGTCCTTATAACTAGAATATACTTTTCCTCAGTCATTTCCAAGCATTATTTCCTACACAATTTCCTTGTGTGTATACTTTTCAACCCCTACGTCCTTATAAATAAGAGATCCTTCCTTTCCAGCTTAGACCAAGAAACTGGAATCACCTCAAAACTAGCTAGGTACACAACAAGATGAAGAATAAGTACCCCTCAAAGCCTGTTCTGATCTTTTTGTTTCTTTCTTTAAACATTTTTTTCATAGAAATAGGGTTGGCTCAAAACGAAACAGCACCTATCGGAGTGAATGTTGGTTTGGTCTTAGACATGGGATTTTTGGATGTCAATATTAGTTTGAGTTGCATTAACATGGCCCTCTCGGACTTCTATGCCACTCACGGCCGTGACTACAAAACCAGACTAGTCCTCACCACTAGGGACTCCACGAGAGATGTTGTTGAAGCAGCTGCCGCAGGTCCCTCTCTTACCTCTCCATCTCTTTAATCATCTTGTTTCCTCTTATTTAAACACTAATTGCTTATTATTTTTAATTAGCTGATAATGATCATTAGCTAACCTCGTTGAGTATCCAACATTTAATGGTGGAAATTAAGGAAATTCTTTCTTAAACAGAGAAATCATCATTGACTTACATTCATAACTTTATTTTTTTCCTCAATTTACGTTCATGTTACACTTGAATTTGAATTGATAGTGTTGAAGAGTCATCTGAAGCCAAGAGTTTAAACTTTCAAACGATATCTCCAGAGTGGTTTTATATTCTGATAGATAGAAAGGATGAGAAAGGGAATAAGATATAATTTAAGTTTGAGATAAAAGCCAGCCAAAACACCCTAAAGGGCATGTGTACACACAAATGTTTTTCGTTTCTACAGCATGAGCATGACAATAGAAATTGAAGACAACTAAAACTGCTGCACTAAAACTTATTTGATATTTGTCTATAACAAAATGAAGAATTTTAGCCAAGTTGAACTTTCTACGCTTGTTATTTGACTGACTCGTGAGCAAGTAAATATACTTTTCACACCTATTTTTCTCAATTCCCTTCAAAAATGCAGCCTTGGACCTGATAAAAAATGTGGAAGTCCAAGCAATCTTAGGGCCTACAACGTCAATGCAAGCCAATTTTGTTATTGACCTTGGAGAAAAAGCTCTAGTGCCCATTATATCATTTTCTGCATCATGTCCTTTTCTTACTTCCAAGAGGAGCCCCTATTTTTTACGAGCTACAGATAAAAATTCAAGTCAAATGAATGCCATAAGTAGTTCAAGCCTCAATTTACGTTCATGTTATACTTAAATTTGAATTGATAATCTTGAAGAGTCATCTGAACCCAAGAGTTCAAACTTTTAAAGGATATCCCGAGAATGGTTTTATATTGCAATAGATAGGATGAGAAAGGAAATAAGACTTATAGGTTTGAGATAAATGTTTGCTGATTTTTAGTGGGCAAGAGAAACGATAAAAGCTAGCCAAAACACTCTAAAGGGCATGCGTACCCACAAATTTTCTTCGTTTCTACAGCATGAGCGTGGCCATCGAAATTGAAGTCAACTAAAAATGTCTGTACTAAAACTTATTTGATATTTGACTAATAACAAAATGAAGAATTATAGCCAAGTTGAACTTTCTACGCTTGTTATTTGACTGACTCGTAAGGAAGATAATATACATTTCACACTATTTTTTTTTCCTTAATTCCCTTCGAAATAATTTTTTTCTCCTTAATTCCCTTCGAAATACAGCCTTGGACCTGATAAAAAATGTGGAAGTCCAAGCAATCTTAGGGCCTACAACATCAATGCAAGCCAATTTTGTTATTGACCTTGGAGAAAAAGCTCAAGTGCCCATCATATCATTTTCTGCATCATGTCCTTTTCTTACTTCCAAGAGGAGCCCCTATTTTTTACGAGCAACAAATAAAGACTCAAGTCAAACGAATGCCATAAGTTCTATAGTTCAAGCCTTCGGATGGAGAGAAGCAGTACCCATCTATGTTGACAACGAATATGGAGAGGGAATCATTCCTTATTTAATTGATTCTTTGCAAGCAGTTGATGCTCGTGTCCCCTACCGGAGTGTTATTTCTCCTTCAGCCACCGATGATCAAATTGCTGAGGAGCTATACAAGCTGATGACAATGCAAACTAGAGTTTTCATTGTGCACATGTTTCCTTCTCTTGCCGCTCGGGTTTTTGCCAAAGCTAAAGAGATTGGAATGATGAGTGAAGGTTATGTTTGGATCATGACTGATGGGTTCACCAATGTTTTCTCTAGTTCGTCTGTGGATGCTTCTGTCATTGATACAATGCAGGGGGTACTGGGTGTTAAACCTTATGTACCAAAAACGAAAGAGCTCGAGAATTTTCGAGGTCGTTGGAAAAGGAAATTTTATCAAGATAATCCAGAGATCGTTGATGCTGAGTTGAATATTTATGGACTATGGGCCTATGATGCTGCAACAGCTTTGGCCTTTGCAGTTGAGAAAGCTGGAACTTCAAATTTGGGCTTCCGAAAGGCAGATGTTTCTAGCAATTCATCAACGGATCTTGGGGTGTCCTTGAACGGCCCAAACCTTCTTCAAGCATTATCAAACATTAGCTTTAAAGGTCTTACAGGAGATTACCTTTTCATTAATGGGGAGTTAGAATCACCAGCTTTGCAGATAGTTAATGTGAATGGCAATGGAGGAAGAGAGATTGGATTTTGGACTCCAACAAAAGGACTTGTGAAAAACTTGATTTCGACAAAAAATATAAGTTCGGAGTCAATATCATTGTCTGGTATTTCGACAGTAATATGGCCTGGGGATACTATTGCTGTTCCCAAGGGTTGGGAGGTTCCTACAAGTGAGAAGAAGTTGAAAATAGGAGTGCCAATGAAGGGTGGCTTGAATCAGCTTGTAGTAGTGACCAATGATTCCAATTCTAACACCCCAAAAGTCTCCGGATTCTGCATAGATGTTTTCGATGCTGTAGTCAAAGCATTACCTTATGGTTTGCCATATGAGTACATCCCCTTCGCCAAGCCTGATGGCGAGCCTGCTGGAACTTATGATGATCTGGTCTATCAAGTGCACTTAAAGGTAGAAATTCTATCTTTTTCTGTAATTATAACTATTCATGCACATTGATGCAAGTGTAGTTTCTTGGAAATTTTTGTCATTTCCTTTGTTTACTGCCAACAGAATTATGATGCTGTGGTTGGAGACGTTAGCATTGTCTTCAACAGGTCCTTGCACATCGACTATACGTTGCCTTTCACAGAAAGTGGTGTCTCCATGATTGTTCCTATTACAGACAACAAGAGCAAAAATGCATGGGTTTTCTTGAAACCATTGACGTGGGACCTTTGGGTGAGCAGTCTTTTATTCTTTGTTTTCATTGGATTTGTTGTCTGGGTTCTTGAGCACAGAATAAATGAAGATTTTCGAGGGTCTCCTTCGCATCAAGCAGGCACTAGCTTCTGGTTTTCCTTTTCGACAATGGTTTTTGCACAACGTAGTCTCCCTTTCCATTATGTATTTCTCTTCTCCTGTTGAAGCACTCAATTATATATATATTGACTACTTTACGGTTTTATTTACAGGGGAGAGAGTGGTTAGCAACTTGTCTCGAGCAGTGGTAATCGTATGGTGTTTCGTTGTGTTGATTCTCACACAGAGCTATACAGCCAGTTTATCTAGCCTACTTACAGTCCAGCAGCTGCAGCCTACAGTTACTGATGTTCAGGAGCTCATTAAGAAGGGGGAGTTTGTGGGCTACCAGGAAGGTTCTTTTGTTCTAGGAATCTTGTTAGACTTGGGGTTCGACAAGTCCAAGCTCATGGCGTATAGTTCTCCAGAACAATGCCATGAACTTTTCTCCAAAGGCAGAGGAAAGGGTGGCATAGCTGCTGCCTTTGACGAAGTGCCATGTATGAAGGTCTTCCTGTCAAAATATTGCTCCAAATATACCATGGTAGATCCTACATTTAAAACTGGCGGTTTCGGCTTTGTAAGTTCACTTTCCTATCTTTCTATTTCCATTAATTCTCTCTACGGCTCACTAGTTAGTGTTTAGCTTCATACTTAGACTTCGATTTTTTTTTTGCGACTTCCAGGTCTTCCCTAAAGGTTCTCCTCTAGTTCCTGATATATCAAGAGCAATTTTGAACATTACTGAGGGAGATCAAATGAAGAACATCGAGGATACATGGTTTGGCAAACATAGAAGTTGTCCGGATTCCAGCACCTCGGTTTCGTCTAATAGCCTTAGTCTCGAGAGTTTCTGGGGATTATTTTTAATTGCTGGAATAGCTGCACTTTTAGCTCTCATTATCTTCACAGTGATGTTTGTTTACCAGGAAAGAAGAGTACTCTTGAGGCCCTCTGATTCAACAACTTCAATATGGACTAGACTTCGACATTTGTTTAGCATTTTCAATCAGAGGGACTTGACATCCCAAACTTTCAGAAAAAGTGAAGTGAATGACAGAAATGGAATCGATCTTCCAACTGTGGTGGCTCCAAGTCCATCAGCCTATTCAGTTCATACAGAATTTCCTGGAGATCCATCCTCTGCAGAGTATGATTCCAGTCCAAATAGCCAAGAACCTCAAGTGGTAGTGATGAGTGCTGATCAGCTTAATAGCCAAGCAGCTCAAGTGGTAGTAATGATTGCTGATCAGCTTAGCAACCCAAATCAAGGGAGGCCAGCAGCTTTTCAATTCGACCATGAAAACAATTAGATTGTTTCTAGCTAGTCATGTTTCCTTTATCTTTCTGTACTCTAGCTAGTTATAATTTTGGTGTTCCATGGTATATACTGGCTATTTTGGCATGTGCGTTGTAAATTTTAACAAAATCTAAATCAATAATTAATCTAACCAACACTTTTTTTAAATCTAATTATTTAACAAGCACTTCAATACTATATATAACACATAGATTTTATGAATATTAAACAATTAATAATAATAATAACGAATATATGCACTCTTTTATAATATTAATGTTGTTAAACAATTAATAGATTTTTTGTTTTGTAAACAAATTAATTGACTTTAATTTAATAGTCACTTTAAATCAAATTTCCTACTAATATTAATTTTTCTAATACGTGAAATATTTTATTTTTCTATCTAAATAAACTTCTCCTTAAACATTTTTCTAGCTAGGTTGATTTTAATCATTAGTCATTATATATTGTTTTTTTTTTCTCATTCTTTTCAACTCCTTGTGTAATTATTTCTTCTTCTTTTTTTCAAATAATTAATAACTAAATTAAATATTAATTTCTATTATTTAGGCATTGTTTGCAACTATTGTGGTTTCTGTTTAATTATATATAAAGAAAATTATTGCGTTTAATTTTTCATGTGAACAATTTATAAAACTTAATTTGAAAATAACTTTTAAAATATAATGACAATTGAGCTACTTACCTTGTTTGGAATAAGGTGAATTTACAATATCAAAATACATTATATGCAAGTCATGTGATTTTTCTGTTAATTTTAAATTAGATTAAACAAAAAATAGACGATAGTATATTTTAGAGAAACATCTTTTATTTAGGAATTAAATTCATTTAATTAGAGACATAAGTGTTAAGTCACTTGTGCTAGTGTCTTTTATTTGATCCCTAAATAGCAAGTGGAATCCAATGATCAACTCTTTTTTTTTTTTTTTTTTAATTTGTTTTGATGTTTGGAATTATTTTAAGTTTAATTTTAAGAGATATTACATCAAAAGGTGAGTTTTCTTTTGGACTCTATTTGGTATTTAATTATTGATCAGAGGCAATATTGAATGTTTTTGAAAACTAGGGGGTCAACATTGAAAACATTTTTTAAATCAATGGCATTTATTCCTAAGAGAGAGATCCTTCCCCATTTGGCGGCAGGAATCGATCCCTAACGTAGTTTCCTTGTAAAACAGTCCAAAAGAACACATCTATATCTCCGCCGTGCACCATTTCCATGCATTGTTCTAAACTCTTCTTCGAAGCTTCACATCCTGAAAACTAAGAGAGAGATCCTTACTTCCTCAGCTTAAAAGCAAAAAGCTTCCTACGTAGACAAGAAGATGACCAACAAACTGCCTGGGTATACAACAAGATGAAGAAAAACCCTTCCAAGCCTGTTCTGATTTTTTTGTTTCTTATTTCCTTAAAGATTGTTTTGTTCATAGAAATGGGGTTGGCCCAGAACACAACAACGCCTATCGGAGTGAATGTTGGTGTGGTTCTAGACTTGGAAATTTTGGATTTCACTATTGCTTTGAGTTGCATTAAAATGGCCCTCTTAGACTTCTACGCCACTCATGGCCGTGACTACAATACCAGTCTAGTCCTCACCACTAGGAACTCCAAGACAGACGTTGTTGGAGCAGCTGCAGCAGGTTCCTTTCTACCTCTCCATTTCTTTAATCATCTTGTTACCGAAGTAGTTTTGATAGAGACATCATTCTTGACATCATAATTTATGCACAAACTATAAACAAGACATGTCTGGAGCTTCCTAGTTCAATTAATTGTTTAGCCTGTTATGGATCCTTGCATCATAGCCACATCATCATTGATTAATATTCATATCTTTTATGTAATGATAAAAGGCAAAATATTCCACACATCTCTCAAATTTTAATTCATTTGAAAATCAATTTTTTAATTTTAAATTTTCAATTAAACCTTCTTTTAATTATTTTTATTTCAAATGAATCTTTTTCTATTTAGTTTTCATCAATCGTAATGGTAAAAGTATACGTGTCTTGTACATAATTATTTAAAAAAAAAAACTAAAAATATATCAACTTATGGATGCTTTGTTTTTTTTTTCAATTTTTATTTTATTTTATGAAATGTTCTTTATTGCTTATTTTTTAGTATTTAGAGGGAAGAAATAAGTTTTGAAAAAAAAAACATCTACAAATTTTGAAATGTTTTTAACTTTTGAAAAAATAGACTTATACATTAGAATTGATGAAAATTTAATAAAATAACCCAATTTTAAATGAAAAAATTTTTAAAAATTCAATTTAAAATTTAAATTTGTAAATTAATTCTCAAATAATTTAAAATTCATGGAGGTTTGGACAGTTTATGGGTGATAAAATATTTTGAGACCCCTGAATTCGGACTTTGTAATGCCCATCATCTCGTTTTGATAAAATATAACCTTTGGGCTATTTTCTTTTAGCATGGACCAAGAACACAAACAGCACTTGTTTTGACATTTTAGGTGTCAAATGGCCCATGTTGAGCTGGTTTTGAGGCCATCAAGGAGGTCCCCTCTTGTTGATTCTTTGGGCCTGAGCAATCTTCTTATGGACCTCATTCTAAACTTTCTTCTATTTTTTTTTTTATATAATTTTTTATGAAAATTTTAAATAAAAAATTGTTGACATTTTAGGTATCAAGAAGCCCTTGTTGGCCTGGTTTTGAGGCCATTAAGTTTGAGGTCTCCTCCTTTTGGCTATTTGGGCCTGAGTAATCTGCTTATCGGCCTCATGTTAAACTTTCTTGTATTTATTTATTATTATTTTATGAACAACTTTCGTGTATTTTATTTCTTCGTATAATCATCTTTTATATAAAATAAAACAATAATAAAAAATTATGAAATTGAAGCCAACTTGAAATTGCTGGACTAAAACTTGCTTGATAAAATAAATAATAATAAAAAAAAAACTTTCTTGACTTGATTTTGAAGATTATCCATCAAATGAATATTTTTGGCCCAGTTGAACTTCAGCACTTTCAACTTTTACTACAAAGAAGATAATTGGTTAAAATCTAATTTGTACAGATATTACAAGTTCTGTACTCCCAACTTGATCTTGAAGATAATTGCCTGCAATTTATTGATTTGATAGAGCTAAAATGACATATTTATGTATATATTCTGCCTCAATAAAAGTATGATGCATTGCTTACTCTTTCAATGCAACATTCCATAACCATATACTTAATTCTCGCAAATACAGCTCTGGACCTGATAAAAAATGTGGAAGTGCAAGCAATCATAGGTCCGAGTACATCAATGCAAGCCAATTTTGTTATTGAAGTTGGAGAAAAAGCTCAAGTGCCTATTATATCATTTTCTGCATCAAGTCCTTCTATTAGTTCCTTCTCGAGCCCCTACTTTTTTCGAGCTACACATAGTGACTCAAGTCAGGTGAATGCCATAAGTGCTATAGTTCAAGTCTTCGGATGGAGACAAGCAGTACCTATCTATGTTGACAATGAATATGGAAAGGGAATCATACCTTATTTAACTGATGCTTTGCAAGCTGTTGACGCTCGTGTCCCCTACCAGAGTGTCATTTCTCCATCGGCCACTGATGATCAACTTGGTGAAGAGCTTTACAAGTTGATGACAATGCAAGCTAGAGTTTTCATTGTGCAAATGTATGGCCCTCTTGGCACTCGGCTTTTTCAAAAGCAAAAGAGATTGGAATGATGAGTGAAGGCTATGTTTGGATCATGACTAACGGTTTGACAGCTGATTTGTTGAGTTCACCTAATCCTTCTGTCACTGATACAATGCAAGGGGTACTGGGTGTTAAACCTTATGTTCCAAGCACAGAAGGGCTTAAAGATTTTCGAGTTCGGTGGAAAAGGAAATTCCAACTAGATAATCCAGAGATTATTGATGCTGAGTTGAGCGTTTATGGACTATGGGCCTATGATGCAGCAACAGCATTGGCCATGGCAGTTGAGAAAGCTGGAACTGCAAATCTAGGCTTCCAGAAGGGAAATGACTCTAGCAATTCAACGGATCTTGCAACTCTTGGGGTGTCTTTAATTGGTCCAAACCTTCTTCAAGCTTTATCAAACACTAGTTTTAAAGGCCTTACAGGAGATTACTTTTTTGTTAATGGGCAGTTGCAATCATCATCTTTCCAGATAGTTAATGTGAATGGAAATGTAGGAAGAGAGATTGGATTTTGGACACCAAAAGAAGGACTATTGAAAAAGTTGAATTCAACTTCTTCGTCTGGTATTTCGACAGTAATATGGCCTGGGGATGGTGTTGCTGTTCCAAAGGGTTGGGAGGCTCCCACAAATGAGAAGAAGTTGAGGATAGGAGTTCCAGTGAACTTGGATGACAACAATAAGTATTTATCTGTCAGAAAAGATCCAAGTTCTAACACCACAAAAATCACCGGATTCTGCATAGATGTTTTTGAAGCTGTAGTCAAACAATTACCTTATGCTTTGCCTTACGAGTACTTTCCCTTTGCCAAGCCTGACGGCAAGCCTGCTGGAACTTACAACGATCTGGTCGATCAAGTGTACTTGAAGGTAATATTTTCTTCTTTTTCTTTACCTATAAGTAAACACATCAAGGGAAAACTGTTTTTATGGCCATTTGTTTCCTTTCATTTAATGCTATCAGAATTACGATGCGGTAGTTGGAGATGTTACCATTCTCTACAACAGGTCCTTGCTCGTAGACTATACCTTGCCATACACAGAAAGTAGTGTCGTCATGATTGTTCCTTTTGTAGACAACAAGAGCAAAAATGCATGGGTCTTCTTGAAACCTTTGACCTGGGACCTTTGGGTGACAAGTCTATGTTTCTTTGTTTTTATGGGCTTTGTGGTCTGGGTTCTTGAACACAGAGTAAATGAAGATTTTCAAGGTTCTCTTACAAATCAAGTTGGCACTAGCTTCTGGTTTGCTTTCTCAACGATGGTTTTCGCACATCGTAATCTCCCTTAACATTTAAGAATTTCATTTTTCTATGGAATTACTTCAATAGATAAATGACTAATATCTCGAACATCAAATTGACTACTTAAAGTTTATATTTACAGAAGAGGGAGTGTTTAGCAACTTGACTAGAGCAGTGGTAATTGTGTGGTGTTTCGTTGTGTTGGTCCTCACACAGAGTTACACGGCCAGCTTTACGAGCCTCCTCACAGTCCAGCAGCTGCAGCCTAAAGTTGCAGATATGAAGGAGCTCATTAAAGGAAGGGATTATGTGGGTTATGAGAAGAATTCTTTTATTCTTGATATGTTGTTAGAGTTAGGGTTCAACGAGGACAGGCTTGTGGCGTATACGTCTTCTGAAGAATACGAGGGCCTTTTCTCCAAAAGAAGTGGACATGGTGGTATTGCTGCCGCTTTCGGTGAGTCGCCGTACGTGAAGGTATTTCTGTCAAAGTATTGCCGTAAATATACAACGGCTGATCGTATATTTAGAACCGGTGGTTTTGGCTTTGTAAGTCCCCTTTCCCATTTCTCTGCATTGCTCATTTAGGAGCATTAGTTGTTTCATACCTGTACTTACTTTCATACTTTCAGGTCTTCCCTAAAGGTTCTCCTCTTGTACCTGACATATCAAGGGAAATTCTAAATATAACTGAGGGAGATACAATGAAGAAAATCGAGGATGCATGGTTAGGCGATCAAAGCACTTGTCCAGATTCCGACACCTTGATTTCGTCTACTAGACTTGGTCTCGAGAGTTTCTGGGGTTTATTTCTAATTTCGGGGCTAGTTTCACTTTCAGCTCTCATTATCTTCACAGCTGCATTTGTTTACAAAGAAAGAGCAGTAATCTCTGATTCCACAACGTCAATATGGATTAGAGTTAAAAATTTGATAAGAATTTTCAATCAAAGGGTCTCCATCCGAAGTGACCTTAATCAGCCTGGAGTGGGGGTGCCAACTCCAGCAGCTGAGTCAGTTCACACAGAAATTCATGGAGATCTATCCTCCCAAGAGGATAATTTGAGTCCAAATAGGGAAGCACCTCAAGAAGTAGAAATAAATATCGATCAGCCTACCAACCCAAATCAAGAAAGGCCAACAGCTAATGGAATAGACCATGACAGCAATTGACTTGTAGACTATCATTTGACCCTTGTGACGCCATTAGCCTGTAGCATGGTCAAGTTTCGATAACTGAGGCAGATTATCTGGAGCCATTAGGGAAGCTAATGGCACTGCAGATGCTTTTGCTAAATCAGGATTCAGGTGTGCATAGATTAGTGGGTTTTATTGCTTGGATGTAAAATCAGTGTTTCTGCAGGCTTCTACTCCACGCAATCCTGTCACTATGGTTTCTGCAATTCGTAGGATTATAATTTGCTTAGTAAACAGGCTACTGTCATCATCGAAGGATTATTTTCAGTCATAAAAAAAAATTTTAGTACAGAATTTACTGCTTCTCTCTGAAGGTTCAGAGAACAAGCTCTGATTTTGTTGCTTGGTTTTAAAGTGTAGATTGGATTGATTTGTATCTTGGTTTCTCCTAAGGACGACCTTTAAGATGAGAGGGCTATCTTCAAAGGACTCTGTCCTCCAGGTTAATATCAGGAAATTTCCTTTGAAGATCATAAGCAAATTACCAAGTAGCTTGTTCTGCAGTTCCATCAGACCACTAAACCAGCCACTCTGTAGCAACTTTGTTGCCTCGGTTCGCCATATGTTTGTCTATGATATACACTGGATAAGGAGAAATTGAACTATCAATTGAAAGAGGAACAAAATCATGTTGTACATCTTGCAAGTCTCGATTTTATTAATACAATTCTTGATTTTCACAAAAAAAAAAAAAAAAAAAAAAAAAAAAAAACTTGGCTAGTCCAATGTATATGCCTCAGAACCAATCTTGTCTAACACTTTACAGGGACCATAATACTTGACTGCAAATTTATGAGCCAAATTAACCTGTTTGTCCTGTTGGAGTTTCACATACACCACATCTCCAATCTCAAACTGTCTGTCCACACTTTGTTTATCACCTTTCTGTTTCATTCTGTGTTGTGCTTTCTCCAACTGGTAATTCAACACAGCAGTCATTAAATCCCTTTTCTGAAGCCATTGATCCACTCTAACCGTTGCAGATTCTTGAGGCAAGTAAGGAAGCTATACTGGAGGTGGATAGCTATAAAGTGGCTCAAATGGAGTCACGGATACTAGAATGGAAACTAGTATTGTACCAGAATTCAGCCAATGCCAACTATTTTATACCAAGCTTTAGGTTGTGTTCCTATCATGCATCGTGCAGATAATATTGCAAGCATTTATTGACGACTTCAGATTGCCTGTCAGTTCGGTGTGATATGCAGTAGAATACGGCGAAGAAAACCCTCTCCAGAGCAAATAATTCCTTCGAAGAAGTACTCAAGAAAACTGGATCCCTATCATATACAATTGTGCTAGGCAAAAAATGCAGTTTTAAAAATTGAATCCATAAAGACTTGTGCCAAGTTGGTGCAATATATGGATGAGAAAGGGGCATGAAGTGAGCATATTTAGTGATTAGATCTACCACCACAAAACAAACTTTTCCTTGTGAGTTAGGCAGTCCTTAAACGAAATCCATGGTTAAATCAGTGAAAAATGCAGTAGGAATAGGTAAAGGACAAAGAAAACCTGGAGATCGAAGCCACATTTTTCTGCTTTAAAATTTTGCAAACGTTTAAGTATACAAGGGTCAATTTAATAATTTGGGATGTAAATCAAGTTTATGTTCTTTTTTGTCTCTCCCGCTGTCCCACATTAACCAAAAAAAAAAAATACTAAAGTAAAACATTTACTCAAATTCATCCGTATTATTCACTTAGATTCAAATATATTATTACTTTCTCTATGTAATGATATTTTTATAGTTTTCAAATACTTTTAAAATATTTATTATAAAAATTTTTATAATATTACACTTTAGTCCCTCTTTTTTAAATATTTTTTATTTCATTTTGCTCCTTTTTTTGTTTTTTTATCACTTTGGTCCTTTTTCTCTATTTTTTTAATTAAAAATTTTAAGACAAAAAAAAATTTTAAAAATAATTTATAAAATAAGTTTTTAGCCAAGAATCTATTGATTTTGACATTTTTTATAACATTACACTTTAGTCATTTTGCTCCCTTTTTTGGTTTTTGATCACTTTGGTCCTTTTCTCTATTTTTTAATTAAAAATTTTAAGACAAATTTTTTTAAAAAAATAATTTATAAAATAAGTTTTTAGCTAAGAATCTATTGATTTTGACATTTTTTATACTATTATAAATTTTTTAGTTTGTGGATAGAGATAAATAAATAATTATTTTTAATAAAAAAATATAAAGAATAATAAGTCAAATACAAAATTTTGATTAAAAAATTATAAAATTGAACGATTTTTTCATTCAATTTTGATTTGATAATTTTGGTATATATACAATATATTATGAAACATCAAACTAAAATAATTTTATTTGTTTTATCCAATCTGTAATGCAACGTGAGTAAAAAAACTAGTTATCCATTAAAAAGTTGCTATTTTTTTTTTTTTTCACTTTCAAGCATCAACCTTCCTTGGGCTACGGCTCCTTTAATAATAATAATAAATAAATAAATAAACAAACGTCAACCTCTATCTTGTATGCACTTGGGTAAACTGTTGAGAAATACCCTAATATCTTAAGCAATTGCCCAATCTGTTGTGATTGGGATTGGGGTTGGAATTAAGTAGCGGACGAGGAGGTGGTAGGTAAAGCTTACAGCACTGTACAAACGAATTTGAACTTGAGATAACGATGTGTCTTGAAAACAAAGTTTTGTGACATAACAAAGGATGCTTCCTGGAAAGGATGCTACAGAAGATGACGTGAGAGTGAAACCTTTTACCGCTAATACCTCAATGGTTAACCAATCTGATGCTAATGTAACTAAAGCTTGAATATTCAATAACCAGTAACCACAAGTACTTTTGATTTAGTCAAGGTAAACGATCGGTATAAGGCCAAACCCGACATATTTGGGGCAACTAATAATTCATTAGAGTTAAATGCTACCAATACATCCAAGTGCATCTATTTTACATGCCACCTTAACATGTGTTTGTGACTAAAGATGAGTTAAAATTGATTAATTAAATTGAATCCAAATGAAACTAAAATACTTGTCAACAATTTTTTTTTAATTATTCGATAATTACAGGTATTATTGTATTAGCTTACATGTCAATTCATATTAAATCTTCTCTAAATAATCATAAAGATTTAAAAAGAAAAAAATCATCATGAATGCATGTTTGTTGTAAGGATTCTGAGTCTGAATGCTCTTATATGAGTAGATAAATGATAGAAAAACGAACATATATGAATTGAAATCACAAACCATAATTTTTCAAATCATTTTTCATGTTTTTGCAGTTAAAATTATGACCAATCAATAAATAGTTGTCAACGTAAAAATAAATAAACACACAATCACAATCAATACATATTTTTTACATAAAAAACTCTTGTGTGGAAAAAAATTACAAGACAGCCATCCGTTCAATTTTTTCCACTATGTCAAATATTAAAATACAAAAAGAAAAAATAATTAAATTAGAGAATACGTATCAAAATATTAAAATCATCTTTTTAAAAATGGATTCTAACAACAATAATAAAGAAAAAGAGGACATTTCATAAAATAGATTTTTGAAAAATATCTAAAGATGAAAGCTTTTCGACCATATATTAACACCACTCAAGTTAAAGAGATCCAAAGAGAATATAAAAATTTCATTTTTATGGAGTTTGAAATATTTTTCCGTAGTTTGGCTTAATTATACATAATTAAGACATTCACTTTTTTTGTTTTTTTAGGAAAAGTCTTTTTCATTTCTGTGTTTTTTTTTCCTCTTTGTATTTTTGTATTTTTTTTTCTTATTTTATTTACATGAGTTTTGACCCTATATAAACGGAGACCGTACCCAACCTAAAAACATGTTAGAATAACATGTCCTACAATAATATCATAGTGCTGAGGTCCATGTCCTTGGAATCCCTTCCCAATTTATTAATGTGATTTGCTTGATTCAGTCAAATCATGAAATTTCCTGGTAATAACAATCAGCAAACTTCTCCTCTCTTCAAAGGAGGAATCAGTAGGGCCTCCCCAAGTGCTGTTATAAACTCTTCCATTGAAGGCTTTAGTTTCACCTTATAAGTAACACTTTTTTCCATTCAAACTTAAACCAAGAAAAATAGCAAGCTAGAATCAGCTCATCAACCATAGGTAGAAGACAACATGATCAGGAAAAAGCACCCTTCAAAGCCTGCTCTATCTTTCTTTTTCTTTCTTTCATTGAAGATCATCTTAGAAAGGGGAGTGGCCCAAAACACAACATCTAAAATCCCAATGAATGTAGGTCTGGTTCTTGACTTGGATTATTTGGATGCCAAGATTGCATTGAGCTGCATCAACATGGCCCTTTCAGACTTTTATGCGTCTCATGGTGACTACAAAACCAGACTGATCCTCACCACCAGGGACTCGAAGAAAGATGCGGTCGGTGCAGCTGCTGCAGGTTCCCTCTCTGCCCCCTCTTAATTATATCATCTGTTTTCTCCAATTATGAATCATTGCTTATCATTTTTCACAGATAATATTAACCTCCTTATGCAAATTTTTATAGTTTGATCATAAAAATCCACGTAATTGACATGATATCATTTGTGAGCTATACTCTCTAGTTTGTGTCTGATACTGTCGACTATACATTTTGCACCCAACACCATAGAATTGGTCTCCTTCGTATGCTTAAATGCGGCAATCTGCATATGCTAGATCATTTGACTTCAGAACAATTAAAATACAAGGAAAAACCTTTCTACAAAACTTCTGTTTTAAAGTTAATTCTGAAAGTAGTTAAGAATTATTTATGGATTTGACAAAAACGAATATGCTAGATCATTTAGCGAGTACTTCATGCTTAATCTCTTGTTTACCTTGCTATCTTCTGGCATCCCTCATACATGTTTTTTTTTTTTTTTAATGAAAATCAAGATTATATTAAAAAGAAGATAGTACAAAGTGAAGACATACAAGAGATTCACCAAAAAAGCTAGAGGATAAAATGACCATAAGCAAGCAACAAGATCATTGTTTTTATGTAAACTACTACCGGTTAAAGAATTTATCGTTCATTCCCTTCTTGAAGAATCTGGTTGAAAGAAATAGAATTCAAAAACTTAATCAAAACAACAATAGAGTTAAAGAGACTTTGGAAATGCCAAAACCTAGCAGAAACTTTTTTATTTGTCCAAACAATAGCATCAGTCGATTAAGATTCAATAATTCAATTCACCTTATGAGCATAAAGAGAACCGACATTGATCTCCAAAACCTTCTTAATAGCCAACATGATAAGTTTGGCACTTCCTTACTCTTTAGGACTGATATAACCAACATCTTTGCATCATATGGCTATTAGTTACCATGTCAATCTATAAAATATTTTGGTAGTTATAAAACAAGTAGTTCTTGTATTATGCATATTTAATTTGCCAGTCAATTAGCCTGTTTTCATCAAGTTAAAACTAAACTTTTGCCCTTTCAAAACACAGCTCTGGACTTGATAAAAAATGTGGAAGTGCAAGCAATCTTAGGGCCAACAACATCAATGCAAGCCAATTTTGTTATTGACCTTGGAGAAAAAGCTCAGGTTCCCATCATATCATTTTCGGCATCAAGTCCTTCTCTTACTTCAGTCAGGAGACCGTATTTTTTTCGAGCAACACAAAATGACTCGACTCAAGTGAATGCCATAAGGGCATTAATTCAAGCCTTTGGATGGAGAGAAGCAGTACCCATCTATGTAAACAATGCATATGGAGAGGGAACAATACCTTATTTGACTGATGCTTTGCAGGCAGTTGATGCTTTTATCCCCTATCAGAGTGTCATTTCTCCATCAGCCACTGATGATCAAATTTATGAGGAGCTTTACCAGCTGACGACAATGCAAACTAGGGTTTTCATTGTCCACATGTATCGCTCTCTTGGCACTCGGCTTTTTGCCAAAGCGAAAGAGTGTGTAATGATGAGTGAAGGCTATGTTTGGATTGTGACTGATGGTCTGACGGCTGATTTGTTGAGTTCATCAAATCCTTCTGTCACTGAAACAATGCAAGGGGTATTGGGTGTTAAACCTTATGTTCCAAGAACAAAAGAGCTTGAAAGTTTTCGAGTTCGGTGGAAAAGGAAATTCCTACAAGATAATCCTAATAACATTGATTCTGAGTTGAACATTTATGGACTATGGGCCTATGATGCTATGACAGCATTGGCCATGGCAATTGAGAAAGCTAGAACTACAACTTTTGGCTTCAGAAGGGCAAATGTTTCTAGCGATTCATCAATGGATCTTGCAACTCTTGGCGTCTCTTTAAATGGTCCAAACCTTCTTCAAGCATTTTCAAGCACTAGTTTCAAAGGTCTTGCAGGATATTTCGTTTTTGTTAATGGGCAGTTGCTACCATCGGCATTCCAAATAGTTAATGTGAATGGAAATGGTGGAAGAGATATTGGATTTTGGACACCAAAAGAACTTGTCAAAACATTGAACTCAAGAACCAACGAAAATACGTTCGCATCTTTTAATTCCAATCTTTTAACTATTATATGGCCCGGAGATGAAACTTCTATTCCAAAGGGTTGGGAAATTCCAACAAAAGGAAGGAAGTTGAGGATAGCAGTGTCAGCGAAGGGTGGATTCATTCCCAACTATAACACAACAAAACTTTTTGGATACAGCATGATCGTTCCCAACATAGACAACAGGAGAAAAACTGCATGGGTTTTCTTGAAGCCTTTTACATGGGACCTTTGGGTTGCAAGTTTTTGTTTATTCGTCTTCGTTGGATTTGTGGTCTGGGTCCTTGAACACAGAACAAATGAAGATTTTCCAGGACCTCCTTTACATCAAGCTGGCACTAGCTTTTAGCTTTCCTTCTCAGCCATGGTTTTTATGCAATGTAATTTCCCTTCCCCTTGTAGAAATTCGCTTCTCCAGTTAAGTACTCCAATATTTTATGTGTCTAATATCTCAAACACAAAATTTACTTGTTCTCATATTTACAGGGGAGAAGAGCATTAGCAACCTGTCTGGAGTAGTGGTAATCATATCGTGTCTTGTTGGGCTGATCCTCACGCAGAGTTACACCGCCATTTTAGTTAGCCTACTTACAGTTCAGCAGCTGCAGCCTACAATTACTGATGTACATGAGCTTATTAACAAGGGTGAATACGTGGGCTACCGGAAAGATTCTCCTGTTAGGGAAATCTTATTAGATTTAGGCTTCAATCAGTCTGAACTCATGGAGTATAATTCTGTGGAAGAATGCGACAAACTGTTCTCGATAGGAAGTAGGAATGGTGGTATTGCTGCTGCTTTTGATGAAGTGCAATGGACGATGCTCTTTCTGTCAAAGTATTGCTCCAAATATACCATGATTGATCCTAGACTTAAAACGGGAGGAGGTTTTGTCTTTCGTAAGTTCACTATCCTCTCTCTTTCTCTCTGTGCCGCTTAAGTGCATACTTTCATTCTGGCATTTATGTTCTCCTCTGGTACCTGATGTATCATGGGCAATTCTAAATGTGATGGCAGATGAAATTAAGCATAAGGAGGATGTATGGTTTGGCGAACAAAGCAGCTATCCAGATTCCAACACCTCAACTTCATCCAATAGCCTTAGCCTCGAGAGTTTCTGGGGGTTATTTTTATTTGCAGGAATAGCTGCACTGTTGGCTCTCTTTATCTTCACACTCAAGTTTGTTTACCAGGAAAGAAGAGTACTCTTTAGTCCCTCTGATTCCAGAACTTCAATATGGACTAGAATTCGAAGTTTGTTCAGAATCTTCAATCAAAGGGACTTAACATGCCAAAATTTCAGACAAGGCCAAATGAATGACAAAAGTGACATTAATCTGCGAAGAATGGGCTCGCAAACTCCGTCGGCCGATTCAGTTCATAGAGAATTTCCTGGAGATCCATCCTCTACAGAAGATGATTCGGGTCCAGATAGTCAAACACCTCAGGAGGTAGACATATATATCTACCAGCTTACCGACCTAAATCAAGAAAGGCCAACAGCTAATGAAATATACTATGACAATACTTGACTTGTACTTATCATTGAAACTTCAGACAGCATAAGTCAGTGGCATAGTGAAGTAAGTGCAACCAGTAAGGGAAATGCAAAATAAGTTATAATGTACCAAATATGCTAGATTCGATGTATGGGCATCGAAACTATCGTTAGAAGTTGTATTAGTGATCAGTATCTGAACAAGAGTATAATAACTAAATAGATGGATAAGTTTCATGTATTATTGATCAGTATCTGACCAATAAGGATATCATTTCACATATCCTTATTTGCACTTCTTCCAAAAGAACATAAAAGAAACGAGAAACAAGAAAATTATGATTCCAACAGAATCAAATGGATTAAGAACCATCATTTAATTGATTTCACCATGTCCCATATATTGGATTTAAACTGAAATTTCATCTCTAGCATCAGCTAGAGTGAGAACAAGCTTTGGGCAGCCCTTAGCAAGAGGCAAGTTAATATTTTTTTTTTTTTTTTTTGGTTCTGAATGTTCTTGGTACCATCTTGTCAACATAGAGATCGAGTTACTTCCAAATGATCGCCCTCATGCTGTAGGATACGTGCCTGCCAGCCAGAAGCATCCACTTAATTTGATAGGCTGGCCATCTCAACTCAAACCTGTAATCTTAACATCAAGGTATCGCTCCACAACTGCTCCGAATCCATCACCACTGCAAAATTACGATACAGAAAAAAGAAAAAAAGTTACCAACAGATGGTATCAAATCGCTACGCTTCGCTTCTTTCAATATGATAATATGCATTCTTCAACAATTTGTGTTCTCTAGTGGACCTCTCAGAAGGATTCAAACCCAGATGACATTTAAATAATGCCCTTTGATTTCACCAGTTTCAGCCTTTGCTTCTTCTTTTTTTTTTTTTTTTTTTTTTTTTTGTCAGCACCATAAACAAGTTTGTAACTATTTTCAGGCAACGTAACTTTTTTCACTACATCTAGCAGTACATAATAATTCATCAATATTTATCCACACAATCTTTCACTGTCAACCGATTTTCTAAGATTGAGAAATTGACAGTTTTGATCTGCTTATGGAAACCAATTGGCACCTAAACAGTACCTAGGCAAAAAGGAAATGCAAAAAAGGAGATGTTGCAACAATAAGTTCACCTTTCCTCAACTATTGATTTTTCTACCAAAAACAAATGCATCTATACTTCAATTCTACATTGGCCACATTCCGGTAGCAGCTTAGTGGCAATAAAGTCGAAGTGCATATTAGTACTTAGAAAACAGATGACTTTCTAAAGAATGAGCTTTCAAGACTGAGTAAACCAGCAGCGTTTCAAAGATACAGTTTCAAGTCATCTGATTTCAGCATACAAACAAAATTAAAGCATAAATTGAGTGACTGTACATAAGTATCGATAGAATATAGACAAAAGAGAAAATCAAATTTCATTATGGACCTTTAATTTCTCTTCATTTTACCTCAGACAACCTTCAAAAAAAGAGTGCAGTCCAATTGTTCTGCTTCTTCAGCTCTAGGTTCAGGATCACCAGCCTCAAAAAACAAGCTGCTAAAACCTTGAAAGTAATGTAAAAATTCTCATATGCTGAAAATCTAGATAATAGTTGGAATGTTCTTACAACCGAGGAATGTGGTCTACCTACAAATAACTAACCATAATTATCTCTTAATGGTATCAGGTTTGAACCAGTTTGAGATAAGAAGCAGTCCAGTAGTTGATGAAAAACGAAAATGTGTTTTGACGTTGATCTAGCCTGAGGAGTTGAGAATTAGGTGCGATAACCGGAAGGATCCCACAGATACCCTCCTTCTTGTACCTATCAAAAAAAAAAAAAAAATGGAATGTTCTCTCTCAACATACAAGCAAACATACGAAAAGATCAAAAGGGCGTCTATCCATTGCTTTAGTCTCATCTGTTGGTAAAAAGACCAATATTTTCTTCTTTATCTTCCAAAATCATGATCTGCAAAAACGAAAATGAAGCCCACATTTCTTACATTCACAAATATGTATAGAGGCAAAAAGAAAAACTGACCCTTAAGGGGATTCCAGTCTGTGGACCAGCAAGGCCAACACCAGAAGCCCAAAACCAATATCTTTTAATCTATAGTTTCTTGATTTACCAAATATACTAAAAAAAAAAGGAAAAAAAAAATAAATAATAAACTGGCCAATATCTTATTCAATTGAGAACTCACGTGTTTGGTATAAAATTTACCGCTCGAACAAGTATATTTAAATTGAATTTTTAAATTGCAAACTCGCATGTTTGGTTTAAAATTTCGTAGGAGTAGAAAGTTGCTAGAATGGATATTGACTGAATATATAAAAATACATGTGAATTTTTTAAATTGAATTTTTAAATTGATAATATCAAGATTAATAATAAATTAGCATTTGATTGAAAGCCAAATTGGTTATACAATTATTATTATTACTACCATATATAAAAATACATGTGAATTTTCTAATGTTCTTGTTTTTTATAGGAGAGTTGATGCTCCTCCCCTGTTGACCATTGCCAACTTGTTCTTCTACGATTAGTCTTTTTCTTAATAGATGACTTCAGTTTTCCTCACCTTTCCATCACCATCTGCTGCAACTTGAATACCACTAGTACCGTAGACTGAAACGAGGCTCTCCACATAAGTATGAGCTGCGGCATGAAATTCATGCTGTTGGTGTCTGATAACCACATTTGATTTTTTGGTCGTGTCAGGAACAAGAGAAATCTGCCGTAAGTTCTCAGTGCACTTCTAGCAGCATTCCACAAGAACCAGAATCAAAACCAAAGCCTAAGATCCTTCTAGTAGAAGATAACAAGATCAATGTAATGGTGACGAAATCAATGATGAAGCAGTTAGGCCATACCATGGATGTTGTGAACAACGGAGCTGAAGCTGTGCGTGCAGTTCAGTCCTGTTTTTACGATCTCATTTTGATGGTAATTTCTAGATTCAAGTCATTTCTACTGCGGCCTTTTCTTTGTTAATGCTTCTTCTGATGAGTTTAGGTGAGAATGCAATTTCCATTATGCTGCACATTTGGATTCTTAAGTTTTAGTAACCATATATCATACTTATTCTGCAGGACGTCAGCATGCTGGTTATAATGGCCTTCAAGCTACACAATTGATTCGTTCTTTTGAAGAAACTGGCAATTGGGATTCTGCTATTAAAGCTGGAATAGAGCCATGTGCACCATCCTCAGCTTCATTACAAGATGGCCAGATTTCTGTTCATTATGATAAGCGGATTACTATAATTGCGGTGAGCACTTCACTCTTAATAGCCCTTAAAAGTTTGATACCCATTTGGTCTCCTGATTCACTTGTAATCTTACTACCCTGTTAATTGTTATTCATCAAAACACAGCAATGTTGCTTGGTTTCTATACCAGCCGATTTATGGTTATCAGATAGTGCAGAGGAATTCTATGCTAATGGTATGGATTCATTTGTTTCAAAGCCTGTGACTTATCAAAAAATAAAAGTGTGCTTGGAACAATATTTACCATGATGTCTTCTGTAAATTTGTGTACAAAAAATGCTAGGAAAGTTTTGCAACCAATGTAACATGTACTTTGCAGCCATTAGTATCTCAATAGAAGTTGTATAGATCCATGCCATTATTCTTTCCCTTCTCCCAGATCATTTTAACATTTTTCCTTTAAAGATTAGGCAATCTCTGGGTTCTTGTTAAGTTTGGATTTGAAAGAAATGGCAGAGAAGTCTCCACAAATAATAAGGTACAGAAGGTAATGCAGGATGTTCTTCAGTAACAAAATAACAGAATTAGCACTCAAAGAGGAAAAGAAAAGGCAAGAAATATAACGTAATTCAATTACTGAATCTCTGTCTAAACCTACCTACATCCAAATAGAATCATCTAACTTCTATGTATATGCAATACAGTAAATTCAATTTCCTTACAATGCTAATGGCTACTGGTGTCATCAGTGTCAAATGATAACCTACAAGTCATGTATTTTCATGGTCTATCTCCAAAGCTGTTGGTCTCTCTTGATTTTGGTCGGTAAGCTGATCGATATCTATAACTCCCTCTTGCGGTGCTTGCCTACTCGGACTAGAATCATAACCTGCTGAAGATGGATCGGCAGGAAATTCTGCATGAACTGAATATGCTGATGGACTTGGGACGCCCATAGTAGCCGGACTGATGCCATTTCTATCATTCAGTTCACTCTGTCTGAAAGTACGGTATGTCATGTCCCTTTGATTGAAAATTGTAATGAAATTTTTAATTCTACTCCATATTGAAGCTGTGGAATCAGAGGGCCTCAAGGCTCTTCTTTCTCGGTAAACAAACATGACTATGAAGATAATAAGAGCTGAAAATGCAGCAAATCCGGCGATCAAAAATAATCCCCAGAAACTACCGAGACTTAGGCTGTTAGATGAAACTGAGGTGCTGGAATCCGGACAACTGCTTTTTTTGCCAAACCATGCATCCTCTATTTGCTTCATTTTCTCCCCCTCAGTTACATTTAATATTGCCCTCGATATATCAGGCACTAGAGGAGAACCTTTAGGGAAGACCTGAAGTTACAAAAAGAAGGGTTACATGAGAAACTATGCACTTATTAGCCATAGAGGAAATGGAAATACCAAGATTGGAAAGAGATTTTACAAAGCCAAAACCGCCGGTTTTAAATGTAGGATCAATCATGGTATATTTGGAGCAATATCTTGACAAAAAGAGCTTTAGATATGCCACTTCGTCGAAAGCAGCAGCAATACCACCGTTTCCACTTCCTTTGGAGAAAAGATCGTGCCATTCTTCTAGAGAATTATACACCAAGAGCTTGGAATTGTCGAACCCCAAGCCTAGCAAGATTTCGAGAACAAAAGAACCCTTCTGGTAGCCAACATACTCTCCAGTCTTAATGAGTTCATGTACATCAGTAACTGTAGGCTGCAGCTGCTGGACGGTGAGTAGGCTCGTTAAACTGGCAGAGTAGCTCTGCGTGAGAATCAACACAACGAAACACCATATGATTATCACCGCTCTAGACAAGTTGCTGACCACTCTCTCCCCTGTAAATATAAACATAAAGTCATTTGGTGTTCATATGTAATGGAGTGCTAGTACAACATGAGAAGGGAGATTACGTTGTGCAAAAACCATCGTCGAGAAGGAAAACCAGAAGCTAGTGCCAGCTTGATCTGAAGCAGACCCTCGAAAATCTTCATTTATTCTGTGCTCAAGAGCCCAGACAACAAATCCAATGAAAACAAAGAAACAAAAACTGCTCACCCAAAGGTCCCATGTCAAAGGTTTCATGAAGACCCATGCATTTTTGCTGTTCTTGTCTGCAATAGGAACAATCATGGAGACACCACTTTCTGTGAAAGGCAATGTATAGTCGATGTACAACGACCTGTTGAAGATAACGGTCACGTCTCCAACCACAGCATCGTAATTCTGTTGAAAGTAAGCAAAATTAATTGCGAAAGAAACAAACATACTTGCATCAATGTGTATGGCATTCAGTGCAATATAAAAAAAACTCAGCAAAAGATAGAATTATGTTTTACCTTTGAGTACACTTGATAGACCAGATCGTTGTAAGTTCCGGCAGGCTTGCCGTCAGGCTTGGCAAAGGGGATGTACTCATAAGGCAAAGCATAAGGTAATGCTTTGACTACAGCATCAAAAACATCTATGCAGTATCCGGTGAATTTTGTGGTGTTGGAACTAGGATCTTCTGTCACTGCCACAAACTCACTGAAGCCATCCTTCACTGGCACTCCTATTTTCAACTTCTTCTCATTTGTGGGAGTCTCCCAACCCTTAGGAACAGAAGTTGTATCCCCTGGAAAAATTACAGTTGAGATACCGGACGCAGAAGTTGAATTCCTAAGTTTGTTTATGCTAGGATTCAAATTTTTTACAAGTCCTTCTGTCTGTGTCCAAAATCCAATCTCTCTTCCTCCATTTCCGTTTACATTAACTATCTGGAAAGCTTGTGATGGCAACTGCCCATCAACAAAAAGGTAATCTCCTGTGAGGCCTTTGAAACTAGTGTTTGATAGAGCTTGAAGAAGGCGTGGACCATTTAAAGAGATGCCAAGAGTTGCAAGATCCGAGGATGAATTGCTAGAAACATTTGCCTTTTGGAAGCCAAAAATTTTAGTTCCAGCTTTCTCAACTGCCATGGCCAATGCTGTAGTAGCATCATAGGCCCATAGTCCATGAAAGTTCAACTCAGCATCAATGTTATTTGGATTATCTTGTAGGAATTTCCTTTTCCACCGAACTCGAAAACTTTCAAGCTCTTTTGTTGTTGGAACATAAGGTTTAATACCCAATACCCCTTGTATTGTATCAATGACAGAAGGATTTGGTGAAGTCAAGAAATCAGCAGTCAGACCATCAGTCATGATCCAAACATATCCTTCACTCATCATTCCAATCTCTTCAGCTTTGGTGAAAAGCCGAGTTCCAAGAGACCGATACATGTGCACAATGAAAACTCTAGTTTGCATCGTCATCAACTTATAAAGCTCCTTAACAATTTGATCGTCAGTAGCTGATGACGAAATGACACTCCGGTAGGGGACACGAGCATCAACTGCTTGCAAAGCATCAGTCAAATAAGGTATGATTCCTTCTCCATATTCATTGTCGATGTAGATGGGTACTGCTTCTCTCCATCCAAAGGCTTGAACCAATGCACTTATGGCATTCACTTGAGTTGAGTCATTATGCATAGCTCGAAAAAAATAGGAACTCCTAATGGAAGTAAGAGAAGGACTCGTTGCAGAAAACGATATTATTGGCACCTGAGCTTTTTCTCCAAGGTCAATAACAAAATTGGCTTGCGTTGATGTTGTTGGCCCCAATATTGCTTGCACCTCCACATTTTTTATCAAGTCCAGGGCTGCGTTTCGAAAGGAGAAAAGAAAAATTAAAGACTTGTTACATGATCTTTCTTATAGGATGATCAGTTGTGCAGCAGAGAAAGTGGAAGAATAGGATCGCACTTTCTTATAGGATGATCATTCTACAGTCATGTTTTAGGTTCTGTGAGCTCTTCTCTTTTCCTCTGCCCCCCTTACACAAATCAAAAACTGACATGACAGCATAAAATTGACACGTTTAATTTTCTTGTCTAGCCATCCCTGCTGCTCTAGCTATATATATCTTTCACCATCAATCCAAACTTTTTGAGCAGATTATGAACCTAACTGTTTTTTATAACTCGAGGCAAACGATTTTATCAATTTAAACTTTTGTTTTAACTTTAGAAAAAAACTATATTAAAGGAAAAAGTATGTGTAAGACTAGCTGTTGATTACATCAGAAGCCGGCCAATAATCTTGGTTACTTTTTTATTGTTTTTGTCAAATCTATAAACATTTCTTAACAACTTTCAGAATTAATTTAAAATAGAAGTTCTGCAGTAAGTTTTTTCCTTGTATTTTAATAGTTCTAAAGTTAAATGATCTAGCATATGCAGACAGCCGCATTTGAAGCATAAGGAGACCAATATTTCTCTGCAAAATGTCTAGTCTACAGTATCAAACACAAACTAGAGAGTACAACTCACAAATGGTGACTTTTTGAAAGCCAGATAGCCACAATTTAGGAAGTCTTTTCTGTCCTCACCATGGCCAGCACAGAGTAAAAACAAATAGTCCTTTCATTATCACAGAAAGGTTTAGACAAAAGTATCCACCCTCGTCTTAAGGTATTGACTCAGGTTTTGCTTCTCGTGTTATCATTTTGGGTTCGAATAGGACGAAAGGTTAAGAAAGAAATTTCTAGTAAATACACAGGTTCGAATGTGACTGACTTACTTAAAAAACGATTAGAAAGAGAGTTTGTCTAGCTAGATACGTAAAAGCGTGTTCAAGAATACCCTTATCGTCGAAAAAGAATATGCATGCAGTAGTATCTTCTCATGATCATATTGTGATTTCAATGATCAAACTATAGTTAATACTGAAATTTATAAATCTCTACTGTTAAAATGTTGCATAATCTGTAAAATTGATAAGAAAATGATTCATAATTACGAGCGGGGCAGAGAGGGAACCTGCAGCAGCTGCACCAACAACATCTTTCTTGGAGTCCCTGGTGGTGAGGACCAGTCTGGTTTTGTAGTCACCATGAGCAGCATAGAAGTCTGAAAGGGCCATGTTGATGCAGCTCAATGAAACATTGGCATCCAAATAATCCAAGTCAAGAACCACACCTACATTCACTGGGATTGTAGATGTTGTGTTCTGGGCTACTCCCATTTCTAAGAAGATCTTCAAAGAAAGAAAGAAAAAGAAAGACAGAGCAGGTTTAGAAGGGTGCTTTTTCCTGATCATCTTGTCTTCTACCTATGGTTCATGAGCTGATTCTAGCTATCTTGTTTTCTTGGTTTAAGCTTGAATGGAAAAATGTGTTATTTATAAGATTTTCCTAAAATCTTCAACGTAAGCAAGAGTTTAGAACAGTATGTGCGGAGGCCCAACTGCATTACTTTGAAGAGAAGAGAAGTTTGCTGATTGTTATTACCAGGAAACTTCACGATTTGATTGAATCATGCAAATCTCATTAATAAATTAGGAAGGGTTACAAGGACGTGGACCAAACGCTACAATATCATAGTCAGACATGTTTTTTTTTAACATAACCCAGCAGTACACAAGCAGCTCTGGTCTAAAAATTTTATCCCCAAATAGTTTTTTTTTCCAGTAAAATAACTTCAATTTTTTTAATAATCATATAACGATAAAAAGCTATTCCGTTAACAACATTGTCAAAGAGCAAGTAAATTAAATAGATGCACTTGGATGTATTGGTAGTATTTAATTTTGATGAACTATTTGTTGCCCCAAATTTGTCGGAGTTGGCCTTATCCTGACCAAAGACAATCCTTTTCTTATTTCATTATCGTTTACCTTGACTAAATCAAAGTACTTGTCATTACTGATTATTGAATATTTAAACTTTAGTGACATTAGCATCAGATTCCTTAATCTTTGAGGTACTTCTTGAGTTTGAATTTATGAAGACATTGTTAGATAACGACGGCTTTTCTGTACATTTAGGCTGTATATTTTTTGAATTTTTTTTAATTGAAATCTTCTATTTTTTTTTAATTTGATTGAAACTTTTTTATTTTTTTGAGATTTTTTTTAAGACTCTTTATTAATACTATCAATTTATAGTCGATACGTGATATTGTAAAATAAAAAAATCTAAAAAAAATATCAATTACTAATTGATAATATTATAATAGAGAATCTGGAACAAAAAATCTCAAAAAAATAAAACTTTTCATTTAAACTAAAAAAGAATAGAAGTTCTTAATTAAAAAAATTCAAAAGGTACAAAATCTAAATGTAGAAAAAATCATATTGTTGTTTAAAATCGAAAATTTTGAAAGAGTTATGTCTCTACTTTTATCATCTCAAGTTTGAATTTAAAAAAATAATTATAACAATTTTTATTTATAAATACAATATTATGATCTGTCTGAAATTTGAATGAAAAAAAAAGTTATTAATATGTAAAAAACAGTTCAAAATATTCTAAGATTTGAAATTAAAAAATATCAAATTCCTCATTGCAGCCAAAACAAGAGATTTTATAAACAAAAGATTGTTTATTGTAGGTTGTAGCCAAAGAAGAGCTTTTATCGAATTATAAAGAATACTTAGTGGAGGCCAAAAAAAAACTTACGTAACCCTAATAAAATATGTTTCCGTTAACATCAAGTCTCAATCCCAAATAATTAAAGACCACTAATTTGTGAACTACTTACTCCTTATCCTTAAATTTTGGGTTGAGATACTTTCAATCTTTTTCTTGGCATACAAATCACCAAACAGTGCATGCGTGATTTTCTACAATTTAAGACAAGGTTTGTGTATGCGACTCATCTATTTTAGCTGTAGCATCCTTTTTTTATGTCACAAAACTTTGTTTTCAAGACACATCGTTGTCTCAAGTTCAAATTCATTTGTACAGTGCTACAAGCTTTACCTACCTAGCTACCTACTTCTACTTCTTATCTGTTACTTAATTCCAGCCTCAAACCCAATCAGCATAGATTGTATTGTACAATAGCTTAAGATATTTGGGTATTTCTCAGCAGTTTACCGAATTAAATACAGGATTTGTAATCCTTTCGAGAGGTATTTATATATACAAAAGATGGATACATAATCCAATAGTTTAATCTTTTGAATTAAAAACTATGTTGTTTATGTATGTATGCTCTCGTGTCTGTTTACAGAAAGATGTGTAGACTCTTCAGTTTAGATATCTCTAGCACCAAATGTCCTGAATATTTGGCAGCCCTTATTCTTCTGAACCAAAGGCTGCAGGCTCTCGTCGAGTTCCAAGCAAAAACTATTAAATCATTGTTTTTATTAAAAACTAGCCATTGTTTTTTATTAAAAATTAGTCATACTTCTTCCAACATAATACAAATTATTTGCTATGAATATTTTTTTGACATTATAGAACCAACTTATTTGAAATAAAATAATTTTTTAAAGGAACCAATCAATTCTTCAAATATAATTTTTTTATGTTAATATTATTGATTATTTTGTAAATAAATATATATAGATCAAATGTATATACTTTAAAAATAATAATCTTCTCACCAACATTAAATAAGAATAAAATTTTTATTTTTTTATTAGTTAATTTTTATGCAAATCTATATATTAATTATAACTTTATTTTTTAAATATGCTCTTATAAAAAAATATATATGTTTTAAAAATATTTGTTTGAATTCTTAATTAATATTCCAATTTCAAATTATTACAAGTATTATTTAAGAATTCATTAATAAAGAAGAACAAATCATGTTTTTTAAAACAGAAATTTTATGTAAAACACAAAAAAAAAAAAATTATAATAATTAAATAAAAAATTATAAAATTTGAAAATGATTTTATTCTATCTACTTGTAGCATTACACTGATAATTTTAAAAATTAATCTTCTCATTAATATTAAATAAGAATAATTTTTTATTTGTTAATTTTATAAAAACCTATCCATTAATTATAACTTTATTTTTTGGAATATAATATTATAAAAAATATATTTTTCAAGTTTTTTTTAATTCTTGATTAATATTTCAGTTAAAATTATTATAATTTTTTATTTTAAAATCAATCCATAAAGAAGAATGAATTGTGTTTTTTTAAGCATAAAATTAATGAAAAATATTTAAAAATTTTATTAATAAAAATTTTTATAAAATTTTAAATGATTTATTTTTGTCGGATCTGCAACGTATCACGGTCAACTGACTAGTCCTTTCTACATCAGCTGGTCTCATGAGCAAAGGAGAGAGTGCTATCTTGAAACACTAGGCAAGATTAAGGCCATGTTCTTTGATTAAATTGGTAACATCACAAGTTGCCGGCTTGTTGTCGATTTCCAGTTTTCTCTTTGTGATGATATCAGAACAGAGGCATTCCTTTATGGATAAGGACTAGTATTTTTTTTGCTTTTTATCATATGGTAAGAAGTGCAGCTTTGCTCTTCACAGGAAAGTGATATTTATGAAAAATTCTATCAGGGTATCAATCATTGAGAGTAATACAAGGTATCCAATGGCAGCTGCACTTGTCGACTATGGGAGGTTGCATTTTTTGTAGAGCCAAAGGCAGAGAATGTGGAGGAATTTTAAAATTTTCCTGGAGAAGAAGGTATTCAAGGAAAATTGACTGGAAAGATGTCTACATCCAGAACAAAAAAGAATGCCCACAGAGGAGGATGTGAGGTAAAAGCCTGCACATGCTTGTAACGAAACTGCTTTGGCATTGTGATTTCTTTCAGAGTGTTCTGAACATCAGACTTCAATACGTGGGGCATGCATAGCCTTACTAATCAAATACTAATTTATTATTAATCTTGATATTTTCTTCTTAAAAAAATTCACATATATTTGTATTTATTCAGCCAATAGAGATATCCATTCTAGCAACATTCTACTTCTAAGAAATTTTAAACCAAACACGCGAGTTTGCAATTTAAAAATTCATAAATCAACAACCCTTTTGGTTTAATCACCCTCTGTTTCTTAGTGTGAGTACGGTGGCAGAGTAAAGCAGCTAAAAGCTCAAGGTAAACTTCTTCGCATTTTAGATTGGGCTATATACAGGAGGAAACTCCTCCTCTTATACAGATATTGTATGCCTTTTTATTTGCATGTATTCTAAAATGATTTTACGGTCAAAATTTTTTAGAGATTTATTTTTCAAATATTTTTAATTTATTTTATAACAAAATTATTTAAATATAATTTTTAAAAATAATATTTATGACATAATAATCAATAATTTTTAAATTTATATAAAATGCTAAAAAAAATATAATTGTTTAGAGCAGATGTAATAAATATTCTCTTAGCTTTGCAGCCAAAACAAATAATTTTTTTTCAAAAACAATTAATTTAATTCTGTACCAATATTAATCACAGTTGATTTAATAATACTTTTAAATTATATTGGTGCAATTTTTTTGTTTGAGAACTCATATCTACGCCTTTGAGAACACGAGAGAATTCCTAGGACAAGAACACTTCAGTGATTTTTTTTATTTTTTTACCCTTTAATGATTTATATGCCTATCAGGGTCACTCAATTTTTTGGAAGCTTCAATTGAAAAAAAAAAGGAGAGAGAGAGAAAACTAATCAGGAACATAGAATAAATGTAAGCTTCTTTAAATATCCAGCTAATCGGAACTTCAAAAAACATCCACAGAAGAAAAAGTAAAACAGACAGGAATGAAAGAGAAATAAAGGTTACAAAAATTTTCTAAGGTTAACGTTCTTGTTTTTTATAGGAGAGTTGATGCTCCTCACCCTGTTGACCATTGCCAACTTGTGTTCTTCTACGATTCTTTTTCCCATCAGATGACTTCAGTTTTCCTCTCCCTTCCATCACCATCTGCTGCACCTTGCATGCCACTAGTACCGTAGACTGAAACGAGGCTCTCCACATAAGTATGAGCTGCGGCATGGAATTCATGCTGTTGGTGTCTGATAACCACATTTGATTTTTTGGTCAAGGGATCGTACAAATGCAACTGATAAGGATGAAGTGACCAAGAATATTCAAACAGTATAATTTCTTTATCATTCCAAATTCCCAAAGGCCTTAATTTAAAATCTTCATAGTGCTCATATCCCAAAGTAGTTATGCTTTCGGGAAAGGGTCTACACATGAACAGCTTTGTCCAACACTCATTCTTCATTGTCCATATATCAAGCCTCCAAGTTGATGCTTCGTCCCAGTATGCACTCATAGCAAGTACTTCTTTGTACGTCATAAGGCTTATGTTTTTGTTACCGATATCATCATAAGGCAGCTCAACTTCCATCTTCGAGAAAGCATCACTGACCATGTCAAACTTTAGAATAGGCAGCACTCTTTGATTCTTTAACGTGGTTTGATCCTTTGGAAAAGCTATATGATACCATATTCCCTTCACAACCACTGAACCTTCATGAACACATCCACCCAAAGGATTTGTCTGATTAACTTGTTTCCAAGAACTTGTCCTCAATGAGAAAACTTCAGCTTTGAGGCACTTAGGTGATGAGTCATCAACCATAAGCAATTTGTAGTCTTTTGTTTCAGGATGGAAAGCAAACCCCGAGGCACATTTATAACCAAAAATATCATCAAATCTCTTAGAGACGGGAGAGGGCAGGTGCCGATGTACTCTTGTTGCTGGATTCCATAAAATATAACTGATAACACTGTCACCGTTATAAATACTAGATATGCCCCGGACACAAACTAAACCATTGGCAGAACCCACAATACATGCATAATCTGTACTGTTACGGTTGATCATGGATGGTGATACCTTTCGATTTTCAAGTCTACTTTTTCCATCACTAAGCAGCGACATGCTATAATTCATGTAAGACGAGGAACCGCGTGAGAGCATGATAGACTGTTTTGGGCGATGTTGGAAGTGAGTGTCAATAAAGTTGGAGCTTGTAATCAGAGCCAGCCATTGTTTACAGACGGTCTGGAATCGAAGCAAAGATTGAACTGGTAATCTTAATAGAATTTCTCTAACCATGTCTTCAGGTAGACAGGAGCCGATCCTCATTCTTGCTGATCTTGTCTTCTTGGTTTTTCTCTGAGAATTGGGCATATCAAAGGATTCTGATGAAAGAAAGAGAGAAGGATTCTGAAGAATTTGATGTTGCAGGAGGTTTTTGCTATACTTTTACAACTTATAGTAATCTAGGGTTATAGAGAAACGAATTTTGTAGCCGACTCTTTTGCTAAGTTTAGTGTCGTAAGTCTAAGGACTTTTTAATTTCTTTCGTTAATCTAATTATCAATTTCATCCAATAATAATAATAATAATAATAATAATAATATAGCTAGGGTTCTCCCGGATTTAATTACTCAAAATCACTTTAATAGGCCCATCAAGTATTATTTTATTTTAGCAGCCCGGCCCACCTAGGCCCAAAATTAGGTGCGAAAAAAAATTTGCAAGATGTTTCAAAAAAGTTAAATGGTTATAAAATATTCTGAAATTTTGGTTAATTATAAAAAATAAATTAATTTTTTTATTTGGATTTTGGTTATACTTTAACAACTTACAATAATTTAGAATTCTATAAGTTTAATTTATCAAATCACAAGTCATTTTATTTTATCGGCCCATTAGGTATTTCTTTAGCAACGAAAAAATTTGTATGTTTTAAAAATCATATATAGGAAATTCAGATTAAAAGATGATATTGCTTTAGAATAATTTAATATTAAATTAAGCATAATTAATTCTAGATAAAAGATTAAATAATTTATTTTTAAAACAAAAAGGATAGATTTATTTATTGCTTAAAAATAGAGGAGATAATTTATAATTTACATATGAAATTCATATATTTTTTAACCAAGCGTTGTACAAGTTTTTAAATGGTCCTTCTAATTAAATAAAATGTGTTATTTTTAAATTTGAAAGAAACTTTTAGTATAATTCACTCTCTAGCAAATAAGCGTAATTCACTCTTTTAAAACTTCTCACGTGCTAAGCCTTCACATGAGCCACTTGTTTGGGGCAATTATTGGCGACTATCCTAATTGCATTCTAGTCCTTCATCTTTTGCAATTCCTCATCAGAGGTCCCTGCAACTCTCTAAATTTCATCAATCTAATCTCCCAAATTAGCTACTGCATCATTAATACCCTGCTTGAAGGACCTTGTCCCAAGATCAAAATGAGGAAAATGTCATGATCATTTATGTTGTGTTGATGATGATTTGAAAGGGTGCAAAGATTAATGGTTTACTGACACTTTTGTTCTTGAACTGTTATTGTTGTGGTAAGCTGAGGTTTATACAATCAATTTTGTTCTTAAATTATCATGTTTTGGGTAAATATTATTCCTTCGTTTCATTTAATTGTTAGTATTCACTCTTTTTTTTCTTTTTCTTTTTTTTTTTTTTGGGATAAAATTTGATTAGATTAATAAGAAAGCACTCTATATTCGCTGGCAAGTAAAGATTACATATATTAAAACAAAAGTACTAAAGCCAAGCAAAATTCAAATTTTTCTACTTTCAAGTGAAAATTTGCATAAAAGCTAATGAAAATTCAATCCACTTTTACAAATGATTTCAAATACTTTTAAGTTAGAAAGTTTTTTTTTCCCCCTAAAAAATAAACATTTAACAAACTATTAAAATAAAAATAAATAAAAAAGATGTAATTATCTTTTTTTCTTTTTTCTTTTTTTGGGGGCCCCAAGGAGGTCATATGAATTTATTTACATAATTTTAGGGCAATTCTAAAAAAAAAAAAAAAAACGCATTTGTGGTTTCTAAAATTAATTTATTTTAAGTTTGGTTAAACGATACGCATTTAACTATGCAAATATTTTGAGAATCATACGAAAACCAAGATAAATTTATATAATTTTGTAGAACTCCCAATGAAATTTGGAATCATTACAAAGTATTTTTTTTATTTTTCTTCAATTTTGTTAGTAGTTAATATTTAAGGAAAAAGTAAAATGTTTTTTTAATAGGGGCTTGGTCAATATCAACAGTAAAAATCAAACTGAAAGAAATTATTTGTTCAAAACATGATAATTCAATGCCGAAATTGATTAAATTGATAGTACAACCCTTAAGGTGCCACAATTTCAACAGTTCAGGTGTAAAAAAATACTATTAAATCCAAATTGGATGTCATAATGATCATTTATGTTGTGTAAATGATGATGTGAAAAGGTGCAAAGATAATTAAACCTTGGAGAAACGCAAAAATTATATAGTTTAAGGTAGTAAAATTATATCTTAATAAGTAAAAAAAATTATGATAAAATATGAGCCCAGAAAATGTTGTGTCAAAAAACAAAAGAAAAAATTATGATAAAATAATATTCACTCTCATACGGCCTAAGGGTACAGAGCCGACCTTTTATTTATTTTACTATTTGTAGTCAGTTTTTTTTTCTATTAAAAAGTCTAAATTGTCTATTTTTTAGCAATTGTCTATTTTTTAGCAACTGAAACATATATTATACTTCCATTAAAAATCAATGATACTCCTATGGAGTGCATAGGTGGTATTGAAAATTGGGCCCCACCTAATTTGGCATATTAATTTATACTTCTTATTTAAAAAAAAAAAAATCTCTCTTGGTTTGTGAGAAAATGCATCAAATAATAAACCAAAAGAATTGGAGTGAGCAAAAAGAGTTCTAGTTGTTTAAACAAATGGTATTGGATTCGAATCTTTATATACACGAAAAACTCTTTAGGTAATTGTATCCGTCTTATAAGCTCAACAAATCAATAAGGGATTAGTATAAATTTTTGGACTTGAAATACTTTGAGGATCCAAAAATAATAATAATAATAATAATAATAATAAACCCGACATCCAAAAAAGTCCCTCATAAGAGCTCTTAGACTTCTTATAACCTCGAAATCTTTTTCAAGGTTTTTCGAGATTTGAAGAAGGTTGTGACATGTAATGTAACATCTTCAACCTAAAAACCTCATTAAGTATAATTGTATTGCATGAATAATTTAATTATTTAATATATGAAAATTTATTTAAAAAATAAATTAATATTTAATGCTTGCAATAGAAAATAAATTAATGCATGCATAAATATTATGAGAGGTAAATAAATTATTTAATGCTTGATTTATAAGATTAATTGTTGAGGTTATAATAATTTAACCATGTAATTGTAAAATTTTAGGGGTTTAGTTCTACTATTAAGACATTTGGATGCTTGATTAAAATGATTAAAAAATTCAAATGATCACTATAAATTAGGAAAAACCCTAGATAAGGGCTAGATTATGGAAAATTTGAAGTTTAATAACTGAAATTGAAGGATCCGATTGAACTAATTACAAGTTTAGGAACCAAAATGTATGACTTTGGTAAATTAAAAAACCATTTAATTCAGCTGGAATTGGTCCTTTATATCCAGATTCAAGCTGAAAAAACAAAGAGAAAGAGAGGTTGGTAAGTTGGCGAAAGAAGAAGAAATGGAGAGAAAAGAAAAGAAATTGAGAGAATTCTAGAGATAAGGCATTAAATGAAGGATAGAGGGATTAATCCAAGTGTGTCACACTTGGCAAAATCACAAGGAAATCCTTCTCCATAAATATGGCAAGAAAAGGAAGAAGATGGGTGATGGAAACTTGAAAACTAAAGGAAAATCAAGTTGAATTCAAGGCAAAATCAAAACAAATTAAGCCTACCCACCACCTAAAATCACCTAAAACACCTTAGATACACAGTAAATACACTCTAGAGACACTTGAAGAAATCAAGCAAAGGAAGAAAAAGTGGAGGCTTGGCTGAAACATTAAAGAAGAAGGAGGAGGAAACTTTAAGCAACCAAGAAAAAATTTGATCAAACATAAAATGAGGTAAGTGTAGTTCTCACTACATTATAAGAAAATAATTAAATTGATGTTTGATTGTTTATATTTTGAAGTTACAGAGATTGTAAATTGGTGGGCTTTGGTTTAATTGATGTATCTTGATAAATTGACGGTGAAAACATGTTTTTGAAGATTGGAATAACATGTTTGATGGTTCAATTATTAAAAATATAAGCCCAAAAAATGTTGTATCAACAAACAAAAGAAAAAATTATGATAAAATAACACCCATACGGCCTAAGTATAAAGTCATGGATCCTTTTATATATATATATATATATATATAAAGTGCCTCGTATTCTCCTAAATTTATAGATTCAAGTGCTTCTAATTTTAAAAGTTAACAAATGCCCACGTTGCAATTTTATGTCGGATAAAAATTAAAATTAAAACTAAATATGGTAAAACCCCTAAGAATCCTAATATATTACCGGTAGTTATTACAATTAGTTAAAGAAATCCAATATCGTTTAATCTCTAGCTAGTTTCTTGATTTGCCTCGTATACCAAAAAGGAAAAAGTAAATTGCCCAATATATTATTTAATATACCAACTCGAACAAGTAAAGTTAAATCCATATGTTTTAATAAATAAAAATTATTATTTTTTAAATTCAATAAATATTGGGGTGTGTGTCATTTCAAATGATATGATATTCTTCAAAAATTATATATTAATTATTTGAAACATAGGCTTTTAATTAAATATGAGAAGTTGGGAGATGGAGAGAATTTATCAGTTCCCTAAATACCCATCAGGGGCCCCGTAGAAGAATAAATGACCAATATAAAAAGCAATAACTCTAATAAATTATACGTTAATTTATACTTCAATTATTTTATTTGAAAAAATAATAGTAAATAGTTGGTGTTATAAGTATAAATGTATTATACATATTTAATTTTCAATAAAATCAATAACTCTAATACATATTTTTTTATACGTCAAGATTGTATTCATTGGGTTAGAGCATGCAACATAAATCAAGTTTTGAAAAAAAAAAAAGAATTTAAGTTGTAAAAAATATATTGAAGTTAGTAGAGTGCAGTAAAAAAATTACAAAATTGATTTCGATAAAATTTGATTATATAAAGAATAAGTAAATAAAATACGTGAATTCTGTTTTTGAAATTTTATTTTATATATAAAAAAAAGCAGCTAAAATGAACTACAAAAAAAATTATTCGAAAATCTATACATAAGAGAAAATAAATTATATTTATTAAAAAATAAAGTTATATAAAAAAGAAATAAAAAATTAATTTGATGAGAATTTTTATAAGAAACGGTTAAATGCAAGAGATCAATTTTAAACAACAAGAGTAATATAATTTGATATATATGTTTATTTTAAAATCTAAAAATATATCATATATATTTCATAATCGTCAATATTTGTGTGGAAAAAATAATGATTGGTTTTCATAATTTTCACTTCCAATTGAATAATAATAAAAAACATAAATTGGTGGAAAAAACCAAAGAAAAATAAATAAAAAAGAGAAAAATTAATGATTGATTTTTTATAATTTTTACATCCAATTCAATAATAAAAAGATATAAATTGATTTTTTTTGAGGGGTGGTGGTAGTAATGGTGGTGGAGAACAAAGAAAAAAATCAATGAAAAAAAAAAGAGGTAGGCCGAGGTGCTTGCCTTGGGCCTTCAGTAGCAGGCCACTGCAATAGCCTAAAACAGCAGACCAAGGGATGAAACAATTTAGGGTTTTAAAATTTTAAGGATCAAAATGAAATATGAGGTAAACTTTAAATATAAATGTCCAAAAACAATCGAAAAATTACAAAAATGCCATCTTCATCAACAGTATATGAAAAGTAATTTGTGAGGAATGGGTGATGAAAATCATTGTTCAAAAACCCTATGTCTTTTAGTTCCTTTTTAGCTATTCAATCCAGTTTTGAATATAATTCCAATATCCAAAAACCTTTTCATCTTCATCATTTTTAAATTGCCAATTTCCAGAACTTTTATCCTGTAAGCAAGATGGAAATTAAAGAATTAATTAATTTCTATCGTTAACCAACCAACCAACCATTCATTTAATGGAGGAAATTGCTTACATGATCAATCTTGTATTTTGTGGCATATGTAGCTCCACCCCTTGTCGACGATGGGTCGAGAACCAGGTCTTTGATTAGGACAAAACGTGTTGAAAAAGCGGGATTGTCCAGCCTATCATAGGTTTAAATTCAATGCTAGCTTGTAAGCTGTGAAGAATTATCATTTGGGTGGACAAATCAATTTGTTATTGTATAATATATATCCAAATTCTCTTATCGATTCCTACGTTTTCAATAAAAATGTTTGAAATATTAAATCTATCATTCTGATTAATTTTTTTAGATTATATAAAAAAAATTACCCTAAATACCCCATATTAAAATAAAAAAAATATATATTAAAGATTTTAAAAATAATCATGCAAGTCGTATGACTTTGAGTTTTTTTTTTTTTTTACATTTTACAAAATGATATTTTGATAATAAAAAAATTGATTGAAAAAATAGATTAAACATTTTAAAAGAAATTTAGAGACCAATAAAATGTAATTAAAAATTTAAAAACAAATAAATTTTTTTGGATATTATATATAAGAACAAATTTATCTATGTACTCTATCATTTATCATAGTCAAAATCACATTAATTATTTTACATAGAAACATACATACATTAGCGTAAATACACAGCCGAGTCTTATCATCTCCATACAGAGTTGGATTCACCTGAAATGGGAATAATTAATTATTATTTTGTATTAAAAACTTTAGACATGTCTAAAAACCACAAAAATAATATATATATATATATATTACCGGTAAATTGATATTCAAGTAACTTATATATTAACTTAAAGTCATTTTTCTGCTAGAGGTATCGGAAGGAGTTGGAGAGAGTCGATACGGGGGAGTCTCGGAAGCCTTGTAGCACTGGAAGTTTTTATCAAGTGGGTCGGACCTACTGCAATTATGGATAGTCTGCCTATTCTTACTGGTTAAAGCAACTTGTATGGAATCCACATCTTAAAAACAAAAATAAAATTTGGCTTCTCACAAAAACCTTTTCAAAGAATAATGCAAAAACTCTACCCTTGTCTTAAATTGTAGAAAATCACGCATGCACTGTTTGATGATTTGTCTGCCAAGAAAAAGATTGAAAGTATCTCAACCCAAAATTTAAGGATAAAGTGTATTAATTCACAAATTAGTGGTCTTCAATTATTTGGGATTGAGACTTGATGTTAACAGAAACATATTTTATTGGGGTTACGTAAGATTTTTTTTTTTTTTTTTTGGCCGCCAATAAGTATTCTTTTTAATTCGATAAAAGCTCTTCTTTGGCTACAATAAACAATCTTTTGTTTATAAAATCTCTTGTTTTGGCTGCAATGAGGAATTTGATGCTTTTTCATTTTCAAATCTTAGAATATTTTTTTAACTATTTTTTAAATATTAATAGTTTTTCTTTTCAAATTTTAGACAGGTCATCCACATTAAAATATAATATTGTATTTATAAATAAAAATTATTTTAATAATTTTTTAAGTTCAAACTTGAGACGATAAAAGGAGAGACATAACTCCTTTAAAAACTTAGACTTTAATATATATATATATATTCTACATTTAAACTATGTACTTTTTGAATTTTTTAATTAAAATTATTTATTTTTTTTAGAGATTTTTTATTTCAGATCCTTCATTATAATGTTATAAATTAATCATCGATATTTTTTTAAAATTTTTTTACTTTATAATATTACGTGTCGGATCATAAATTGGTAATATTAAGGAAGAGTATTTCTAACAATATGTTCTTAAATTCAAACTCAAGAAGATGATGTGAGAGTGAAACCTTTTACCGCTAATAACTCAAAGGTTGAGGAATCTGATGCTAATGTAACTAAAGCTTGAATATTCAATAACCAGTAGCCACGGGTACTTTGAATTAGTCAAGGTCAACTATAATGAAATAAGACAAGGATTGTCTTTGGTCAGCATAAGGCCAACTCCGACAGATTTAGGGCAATAAATAGTTCATTACAGTTAAATACTACCAATACATCCAACTCTAAATATTCTTTGACAATGACTATGATATTGTAGCATTTGGTCCACGTCCTTGTAACCCTTCCTAATTTATTAATATGATTTGCATGATTCAATCAAATCGTGAAGTTTCCTGAATAACAATCAGCAAACCAAGAAAGTTGCAGTTGGGCCTCCGCACATACTGTTCTAAACTCTTCCGTACGTTGAAGATTTTAGGAAAATCTTATAAATAACACATTTTTCCATTCAAGCTTAAACCAAGAAAACTAGCTAGCTAGAATCAGCTCATGAACCATAGGTAGAAGACAAGATGATCAGGAAAAAGCACCCTTCTAAACCTGCTCTATCTTTCTTCTTTTTTCTTTCTTTGAAGATCTTCTTAGACATGGGAGTAGCCCAAAACACAACATCTACAATCCCAGTGAATGTAGGTCTGGTTCTTGACTTGGATTATTTGGATGCCAATGTTTCATTGAGCTGCATCAACATGGCGCTTTCAGACTTCTATGCTGCTCATGGTGACTACAAAACGAGACTGGTCCTCACCACCAGGGACTTCAAGAAAGATGTTGTTGGTGCAGCTGCTGCAGGTTCCCTCTCTGCCCCCCTCGTAATTATGAATCATTTTCTTATCAATTTTACAGATTATGCAACATTTTAACAGTAGAGATTTATAAATTTCAGTATTAACTATAGTTTGATCATTGAAATCTAGGTAATTGACACAATATGATCATGAGAAGATACTGCTGCATGCTTATTCTTTTTCGACGATGAGGGTATTCTTGAACACGCTTTTACGCATCTAGCTAGACAAACTCTATTTCGAATCGTTTTTTAAGTAAGTCATTCACATTCGAACCGGTATATTTACTAGAAATATCTTTCTTAACCTTTCGTCCTATTCGAACCCAAAATGATGACTTGAGAAGCAAACCCTGAGTCAATGCCTTAATATCAGGGCGGGTACTTTTTGTCTAAGCCTCTCTGCTAATGAAATGACTACTTGTTTTGACCATGTGCTGGCAATGATAAGAAGGGTCAAAACGCAGAAAAGTCTTCTATCTTGCTTTCAAAAAGTCAGCATTTGTGAGCTGTACTCTCTAGTTTGTGTCTGATATTGTAGACTATAAATTTTGCAAATTGGTCTCCTTAGTATGCTTCAGGTGCGGCTATCTTCATATGGTAGATCATTTGACTTCAGAACTATTAAAATGCAAGGAAAAAACTTTCTGCAGAACTTGCAGTTTAAATTAATTCTGAAAGTTGTTAACAAATATTTATAGACTTGACAAAAAACATCAATATAAAAGTAACCAAGACTATTGGCCGGCTTCTGATGTAATCAACATTAATAACCAAGATTATTTACACATACATTTTCCTTTAATATAGTTTTTTCTCGAGTTAAAACAAAAGTTTAAATTGATAAAATCGTTTGCCTCTAATTTTTATATATATATATATATATATATATATATATAAACAGTTACGGTCATACTTTGCTGAAAATGAAGTTTGGATTGATGGTGAAAGAAATACATAGCTAGAGAAGCATGGATGGGTAGACAAGAAAAGTATATGTGTTAATTTTATGCTGTCACAGAACCTAAAACATGACTGTAGAAAGATCATCCTATAAGAAAGTGCGATCCTATTCTTTCATTTTCTCTGCTGCACAACTCAGGTTCATGTAACAAGTCTTTAATTTTTCTTTTCTCCTTTCGAAACGCAGCCCTGGACTTGATAAAAAATGTGGAAGTGCAAGCAATATTGGGGCCAACAACATCAATGCAAGCCAATTTTGTTATTGACCTCGGAGAAAAAGCTCAGGTGCCAATAATATCGTTTTGTGCAACGAGTCCTTCTCTTACTTCCATTAGGAGTTCCTATTTTTTTCGAGCTATACATAATGACTCAACTCAAGTGAATGCCATAAGTGCATTGGTTCAAGCCTTTGGATGGAGAGAAGCAGTACCCATCTACATCGACAATGAATATGGAGAAGGAATCATACCTTATTTGACTGATGCTTTGCAAGCAGTTGATGCTCGTGTCCCCTACCGGAGTGTCATTTCGTCATCAGCTACTGACGATCAAATTGTTAAGGAGCTTTATAAGTTGATGACGATGCAAACTAGAGTTTTCATTGTGCACATGTATCGGTCTCTTGGAACTCGGCTTTTCACCAAAGCTGAAGAGATTGGAATGATGAGTGAAGGATATGTTTGGATCATGACTGATGGTCTGACTGCTGATTTCTTGACTTCACCAAATCCTTCTGTCATTGATACAATACAAGGGGTATTGGGTATTAAACCTTATGTTCCAAGAACAAAAGAGCTTGAAAGTTTTCGAGTTCGGTGGAAAAGGAATTTCTTACAAGATAATCCAAATAGCATTGATGCTGATTTGAACATTTATGGACTATGGGCCTATGATGCTACTACAGCATTGGCCATGGCAGTTGAGAAAGCTGGAACTACAAATTTTGGCTTCCAAAAGGCAAATGTTTCTAGCAATTCGTCCACGGATCTTGCAACTCTTGGCATCTCTTTAAATGGTCCACACCTTCTTGAAGCTATATCAAACACTAGTTTCAAAGGCCTTACAGGAGATTACCTTTTTGTTGATGGGCAGTTGCCATCACCAGTTTTCCAGATAGTTAATGTGAATGGAAATGGAGGAAGAGAGATTGGATTTTGGACATCAACAGAAGGACTTGTAAGAAAATTGAATCCTAGAATAAACAAACTTAGGAATTCAACCTCTGCGTCCGGTATCTCAACTGTAATTTTTCCAGGGGATATAACTTCTGTTCCCAAGGGTTGGGAGACTCCCACTAATGGGAAGAAGTTGAAAATAGGAGTGCCAGTGAAGGATGGCTTCAGTGAGTTTGTGGCAGTGACAGAAGATCCTAGTTCCAACACCACAAAAGTCACTGGATACTGCATAGATGTTTTTGACGCTGTAGTCAAAGCATTGCCTTATGCTTTGCCTTATGAGTACATCCCCTTTGCCAAGCCTGACGGCAAGCCTGCCGGAACTTACAACGATCTGGTCTATCAAGTGCACTCAAAGGTAAAACATAATTCTATCTTTTGCTGTACTTATTCTGTGTTTTTTATATTGCATTGAATACCATACACATTGACGAAAGCATGCTTGTTTCTTTCGCAATTAATTTTGCTTACTGTCAACAGAATTATGATGCTGTGGTTGGAGACATCACCATTGTCTTCAACAGGTCCTTATACATCGACTATACGTTGCCTTTCACAGAAAGTGGTGTCTCCATGATTGTTCCTATTGCAGACAACAACAGCAAAAATGCATGGGTCTTCATGAAACCTTTGACATGGGACCTTTGGGTGAGCAGTTTTTGTTTCTTTGTTTTCATTGGATTTGTTGTCTGGTTTCTTGAGCACAGAGTAAATGAAGATTTTCGAGGGTCTGCTTCAGATCAGGCCGGCACTAGCTTCTGGTTTTCCTTCTCGACAATGGTTTTTGCACAACGTAATCTCCCTTCTCCTGTTGCACCTTTTTTTTATTTTTTTATAAACTCACACACCCAATACTCCTAACACAACTGGTCTGCTAGGATTTGAACCTGCGATCTCTAGTTGCAAGAGACCATTACCACTAAGCTACATAGCACTCCAATATATATGAACACCAAATGACTTTATGTTTATATTTACAGGGGAGAGAGTGGTTAGCAACTTGTCTAGAGCAGTGATAATCATATGGTGTTTCGTTGTGTTGATTCTCACGCAGAGCTACACAGCCAGTTTAACGAGCCTACTCACCGTCCAGCAGCTACAGCCTACAGTTACTGATGTACATGAGCTCATTAAGAATGGAAAGTATGTTGGCTACCAGAAGGGTTCTTTTGTTCTAGAAATCTTGCTAGGCTTGGGTTTCGACAATTCCAAGCTCTTGGTGTATGGTTCTCTAGAAGAATGGCACGATCTTTTCTCCAAAGGAAGTGGAAATGGTGGTATTGCTGCTGCTTTCGACGAAGTGGCATATCTAAAGCTCTTTCTGTCAAGATATTGCTCCAAATATACCATGATTGATCCTGCATTTAAAACCGGCGGTTTTGGCTTTGTAAAATCTCTTTCCAATCTTGGTATTTCCATTTTCTCTATGGCTAATAAGTGCATAGTTTCTCATGTATCCTTTCCTTTTGTGACTTCAGGTCTTCCCTAAAGGTTCTCCTCTAGTGCCTGATATATCGAGGGCAATATTAAACGTAACCGAGGGGGAGAAAATGAAGCAAATAGAGGATGCATGGTTTGGCAAGAAAAGCAGTTGTCCGGATTCCAGCACCTCAGTTTCATCTAATAGCATAAGTCTCGATAGTTTCTGGGGATTATTTTTGATTGCCGGACTAGCTGCATTTTCAGCTCTTATTATCTTCGTAGTCATGTTTGTTTACCGAGAAAGGAGAGCCTTGAGGCCCTCTGATTCCACAGCTTCAATATGGAGTAGAATTAAAAATTTCTTTACAATTTTCAATCAAAGGGACATGACAGCCCGTACTTTCAGACAGAGTGAACTGAATGATAGAAATGGCATCAGTCAGGCTACTATGGGCGTGCCAACTCCGTCAGCATATTCAGTTCATGCAGAATTTCCTGCCGATCCATCTTCAGCAGGCTATGATTCTAGTCCGAGTAGGCAAGCACCTCAAGAGGGAGTTATAGATATCGATCAGCTTACCGACCAAAATCAAGAGAGACCAACAGCTTTGGAGATAGACCATGAAAATACATGACTTGTAGGTTATCATTTGACACTGATGACACCAGTAGCCATTAGCATTGTAAGGAAATTGAATTTACTGTATTGCATATACATAGAAGTTAGATGATTCTATTTGGATGTAGGTAGGTTTAGACAGAGATTCAGTAATTGAATTACGGTATATTTCTTGCCTTTTCTTTTCCTCTTTGAGTGCTAATTCTGTTATTTTGTTACTGAAGAACATCCTGCATCACCTTCTGTACCTTATTATTTGTGGACACTTCTCTGCCATTTCTTTCGAATCCAAACTTAACAAGAACCCAGAGATTGCCTAATCGTTAAAGGAAATATGTTAAAATGATCTGGGAGAAGGGAAAGAATATGGCATGGATCTATACAACTTCTATTGAGATACTAATGGCTGCAAAGTACATGTTACATTGGTTGCAAAACTTTCCTAGCATTTTTTGTACACAAATTTACAGAAGACATCATGGTAAATATTGTTCCAAGCACACTTTTATTTTTTGATAAGTCACAGGCTTTGAAACAAATGAATCCATACCATTAGCATAGAATTCCTCTGCACTATCTGATAACCATAAATCGGCTGGTATAGAAACCAAGCAACATTGCTGTGTTTTGATGAATAACAATTAAAAAGGTAGTAAGATTACAAGTGAATCAGGAGACCAAATGGGTATCAAACTTTTAAGGGCTATTAAGAGTGAAGTACTCTCCGCAAATATAGTAATCCGCTTATCATAATGAACAGAAATCTGGCCATCTTGTAATGAAGCTGAGGATGGTGCGCATGGCTCTATTCCAGCTTTAATAGCAGCATCCCAATTGCCAGTTTCTTCAAAAGAACGAATCAATTGTGTAGCTTGAAGGCCATTCATAACCGGCATGCAGATGTCCTGCAGAATTAGTATGATACATGGTTACTAAAACTTAAGAATCCAAATGTGGAGCTTAATCAAAATTGCATTCACACCTAAACTCATCAGAAGAAGCATTACCAAAGAAAAGGCCGCAGCAGAAATGATTTGAATCTAGAAATTACCATCAAAATGAGATCGTAAAAACAGGACTGAGCTGCACGCACAGCTTCAGCTCCGTTATTCACGACATCCATGGTATGGCCTAACTGCTTCATCATTGATTTGGTCACCATTACATTGATCTTGTTATCTTCCACTAGAAGGATCCTAGGCTTTGGTTTTGATTCTGGTTCTTGTGGAATGCTGCTAGAAGTGCACTGAGAACTTAGGGCAGATTTCTCTTGTTCCTGACACGACCCTGATGGCTCACCTTTATTAGCCCTTAGGACCAGGTCTTTGCTTGATTCGGTGTGATTATTGCAGTTTGTAGTACCATTTGGAATTTTACTTTTTGTGTCATCTTGAAATTGTTTGCTTCTGCAAACTACGTTATAGTTGCCGCATTCCGGGCTGTGACTAAATGAGCCCTGTCTACATCAGCTGGTCTCCAGAGCAAAGGGGAGAGTACTATCTTGAAACACTAGGCAGGATTAAGGCCATGTTCTTTGATTAAATTGGTCACATCACAATTCACAAGTTGCCGGTTTGCTGTAGATTTCCAGTTTTCTCTTTGCGATGATATCAGAATAGATGAATTGCTTTATTGGTAAGGACTAGTATTTTTTTCGCTTTTTGTCATGGTAAGAAGTGCAGCTTTGCTCTTCACGGGAAAGTGATATTTATGAAAAGTTCTATCAGGGTATCAATCATTTGAGAGTAATAAGGCATCCAATGGCAGCTGCACTTGTCGACTATGGGAGGTTGCATTTTTTGTAGAGCCAAAGCCAGAGAATGTGGAGGAATTTTAAAATTTTCCTGGAGAAGAAGGTATTCAAGGAAAATTGACTGGAAAGATGTCTACATCCAGAGCAAAAAGATTGCCCACAGGGCAGGATGTGAGGTAAAAGCCAGCACATGCTTGCAACGAAACTGCTTTGGCATTGGGATTTCTTTCAGAGTGTTCTAAACTTTGGCAATTTAAAGCTTAAAGTGCTCATAACATAATATATAACAGGATGCAAGTAGAGCTAGGACAAGATTCTAAATGTTTGCACATGATGCCATCCACAGTTTCAGACAGGATAGAGAAGCAGAAATTGGAAAGAAAGTCCTACTCTTGCAGTATATAGCTAAAAATTTTGCAATTTAAAGCTTAAAGTGTTCGTCACATAATATATAACAGGCTGCAAGTAGAGCTAGGAGAAGATTCTAAAAGTTTGCACAATGCTTGGGATCATTGGAAGCATATGCAGTATTTCTTGCATTCTGTTAGACGAATTGTATTGGAGTTTTTTTTTTTAATATCAATCGCATCGTCGCTAAAAAAAGTAGGCATCAAAAGATTTGATAACTATACTGCTGCTACATACAGAAAGCAAAAGGAATGTGTTCTTCCCAAAGGAAAGTAAATGGAAGAGTACTCAGCATGGTTGAACCACTAACTTAGCATGCCCAAACTGACATTGCACATCCCAAAATTCACGTTATTGTTTTTTATAGGAGAGTTGATGCTCCTTACCCTCTTGACCATTGCCAACTCGTTCTTCTACGATTAATCTTTTTCTTAATAGATGACTTCAGTTTTCCTCTCCTTTCCATCACCATCTGCTGCAACTTGAATACCACTAGTACCGTAGACTGAAACGAGGCTCTCCACATAAGTATGAGCTGCGGCATGGAATTCATGCTGTTGGTGTCTGATAAGCACATTTGATTTTTTGGTTGTGTCAGGAACAAGAGAAATCTGCCTTAAGTTCTCAGTGCACTTCTAGCAGCATTCCACAAGAACCAGAATAAAAAACAAAGCCTAACATCCTTCTAGTAGAAGATAACAAGATCAATGTAATGGTGACGAAATCAATGATGAAGCAGTTAGGCCATACCACGGATGTCGTGAACAACGGAGCTGAAGCTGTGCGTGCAGTTCAGTCCTGTTTTTACGATCTCATTTTGATGGTAATTTCTAGATTCAAGTCATTTCTACTGCGGCCTCTTCTTTGTTAATGCTTCTTCTGATGAGTTTAGGTGAGAATGCAATTTCGATTATGCTGCACATTTGGATTCTTAAGTTTTAGTAACCATATATCATACTTATTCTGCAGGACGTCAGCATGCTGGTTATGAATGGCCTTCAAGCTACACAATTGATTCGTTCTTTTGAAGAAACTGGCAATGGGATGCTGCTATTACAGCTGGAATAGAGCCATGTGCACCATCCTCAGCTTCATTACAATTAATTTTTTATTTATTGAAAATAATTTCAAAAAAATGCTATATTTTTTCTTTTTAATTAATTTAGTAATTACTTATCTATTTAACTCAATGAACAACTAATATAAGCTTAATATTTAATCAACAAAATAACAATATATTACAATTTAATTACTATTTAATTTATTGATTAATTTTGTACTTACCTAACGCTTTAACTTAATGAACTAGTACTAAATAAATTTAATAATTTTTTCAATAAATTCTTAATCACTTAAGTAAATTAACAATTAGCAGCTACATTAATAACAATAACAATAACAATAACAATTAAAATAACAACATAACAATTATATTTTCTAACTAAAACAATTAACAATTTTTAATTTACTTAAGTGGGGCATGCATAGCCTTACTAATCAAATACTAATTTATTATTAATCTTGATATTTTCTTCTTAAAAAAATTCACATATATTTTTATTTATTCAGCCAATAGAGATATCCATTCTAGCAACATTCTACTTCTAAGAAATTTTAAACCAAACACGCGAGTTTGCAATTTAAAAATTCATAAATCAACAACCCTTTTGGTTTAATCACCCTCTGTTTCTTAGTGTGAGTACGGTGGCAGAGTAAAGCAGCTAAAAGCTCAAGGTAAACTTCTTCGCATTTTAGATTGGGCTATATACAGGAGGAAACTCCTCCTCTTATACAGATATTGTATGCCTTTTTATTTGCATGTATTCTAAAATGATTTTACGGTCAAAATTTTTTAGAGATTTATTTTTCAAATATTTTTAATTTATTTTATAACAAAATTATTTAAATATAATTTTTAAAAATAATATTTATGACATAATAATCAATAATTTTTAAATTTATATAAAATGCTAAAAAAAAATATAATTGTTTAGAGCAGATGTAATAAATATTCTCTTAGCTTTGCAGCCAAAACAAATAATTTTTTTTCAAAAACAATTAATTTAATTCTGTACCAATATTAATCACAGTTGATTTAATAATACTTTTAAATTATATTGGTGCAATTTTTTTGTTTGAGAACTCATATCTACGCCTTTGAGAGCACGAGAGAATTCCTAGGACAAGAACACTTCAGTGATTTTTTTTATTTTTTTACCCTTTAATGATTTATATGCCTATCAGGGTCACTCAATTTTTTGGAAGCTTCAATTGAAAAAAAAAAAGGAGAGAGAGAGAAAACTAATCAGGAACATAGAATAAATGTAAGCTTCTTTAAATATCCAGCTAATCGGAACTTCAAAAAACATCCACAGAAGAAAAAGAAAAACAGACAGGAATGAAAGAGAAATAAAGGTTACAAAAATTTTCTAATGTTCTTGTTTTTTATAGGAGAGTTGATGCTCCTCACCCTGTTGACCATTGCCAACTTGTGTTCTTCTACGATTCTTTTTCCCATCAGATGACTTCAGTTTTCCTCTCCCTTCCATCACCATCTGCTGCACCTTGCATGCCACTAGTACCGTAGACTGAAACGAGGCTCTCCACATAAGTATGAGCTGCGGCATGGAATTCATGCTGTTGGTGTCTGATAACCACATTTGATTTTTTGGTCAAGGGATCGTACAAATGCAACTGATAAGGATGAAGTGACCAAGAATATTCAAACAGTATAATTTCTTTATCATTCCAAATTCCCAAAGGCCTTAATTTAAAATCTTCATAGTGCTCATATCCCAAAGTAGTTATGCTTTCGGGAAAGGGTCTACACATGAACAGCTTTGTCCAACACTCATTCTTCATTGTCCATATATCAAGCCTCCAAGTTGATGCTTCGTCCCAGTATGCACTCATAGCAAGTACTTCTTTGTACGTCATAAGGCTTATGTTTTTGTTACCGATATCATCATAAGGCAGCTCAACTTCCATCTTCGAGAAAGCATCACTGACCATGTCAAACTTTAGAATAGGCAGCACTCTTTGATTCTTTAACGTGGTTTGATCCTTTGGAAAAGCTATATGATACCATATTCCCTTCACAACCACTGAACCTTCATGAACACATCCACCCAAAGGATTTGTCTGATTAACTTGTTTCCAAGAACTTGTCCTCAATGAGAAAACTTCAGCTTTGAGGCACTTAGGTGATGAGTCATCAACCATAAGCAATTTGTAGTCTTTTGTTTCAGGATGGAAAGCAAACCCCGAGGCACATTTATAACCAAAAATATCATCAAATCTCTTAGAGACGGGAGAGGGCAGGTGCCGATGTACTCTTGTTGCTGGATTCCATAAAATATAACTGATAACACTGTCACCGTTATAAATACTAGATATGCCCCGGACACAAACTAAACCATTGGCAGAACCCACAATACATGCATAATCTGTACTGTTACGGTTGATCATGGATGGTGATACCTTTCGATTTTCAAGTCTACTTTTTCCATCACTAAGCAGCGACATGCTATAATTCATGTAAGACGAGGAACCGCGTGAGAGCATGATAGACTGTTTTGGGCGATGTTGGAAGTGAGTGTCAATAAAGTTGGAGCTTGTAATCAGAGCCAGCCATTGTTTACAGACGGTCTGGAATCGAAGCAAAGATTGAACTGGTAATCTTAATAGAATTTCTCTAACCATGTCTTCAGGTAGACAGGAGCCGATCCTCATTCTTGCTGATCTTGTCTTCTTGGTTTTTCTCTGAGAATTGGGCATATCAAAGGATTCTGATGAAAGAAAGAGAGAAGGATTCTGAAGAATTTGATGTTGCAGGAGGTTTTTGCTATACTTTTACAACTTATAGTAATCTAGGGTTATAGAGAAACGAATTTTGTAGCCGACTCTTTTGCTAAGTTTAGTGTCGTAAGTCTAAGGACCTTTTAATTTCTTTCGTTAATCTAATTATCAATTTCATCCAATAATAATAATAATAATAATAATAATATAGCTAGGGTTCTCCCGGATTTAATTTCTCAAAATCACTTTAATAGGCCCATCAAGTATTATTTTATTTTAGCAGCCCGGCCCACCTAGGCCCAAAATTAGGTGCGAAAAGAAATTTACAAGATGTTTCAAAAAAGTTAAATGGTTATAAAATATTCTGAAATTTTGGTTAATTATAAAAAATAAATTAATTTTTTTATTTGGATTTTGGTTATACTTTAACAACCTACAATAATTTAGAATTTTATAAGTTTAATTTATCAAATCACAAGTCACTTTATTTTATCGGCCCATTAGGCATTTCTTTAGCAACGAAAAAATTTGTATGTTTTAAAAATCATATATAGGAAATTCAGAGTAAAAGATGATATTGCTTTAGAATAATTTAATATTAAATTAAGCATAATTAATTCTAGATAAAAGATTAAATAATTTATTTTTAAAACAAAAAGGATAGATTTATTTATTGCTTAAAAATAGAGGAGATAATTTATAATTTACATATGAAATTCATATATTTTTTAACCAAGCGTTGTACAAGTTTTTAAATGGTCCTTCTAATTAAATAATATGTGTTATTTGTTAAATTTGAAAGAAACTTTTAGTATAATTCACTCTCTAGCAAATAAGCGTAATTCACTCTTTTAAAACTTCTCACGTGCTAAGCCTTCACATGAGCCACTTGTTTGGGGCAATTATTGGCGACTATCCTAATTGCATTCTAGTCCTTCATCTTTTGCAATTCCTCATCAGAGGTCCCTGCAACTCTCTAAATTTCATCAATCTAATCTCCCAAATTAGCTACTGCATCATTAATACCCTGCTTGAAGGACCTTGTCCCAAGATCAAAATGAGGAAAATGTCATGATCATTTATGTTGTGTTGATGATGATTTGAAAGGGTGCAAAGATTAATGGTTTACTGACACTTTTGTTCTTGAACTGTTATTGTTGTGGTAAGCTGAGGTTTATACAATCAATTTTGTTCTTAAATTATCATGTTTTGGGTAAATATTATTCCTTCGTTTCATTTAATTGTTAGTATTCACTCTTTTTTTTTCTTTTTTTTTTTTTTTTTTGGGATAAAATTTGATTAGATTAATAAGAAAGCACTCTATATTCGCTGGCAAGTAAAGATTACATATATTAAAACAAAAGTACTAAAGCCAAGCAAAATTCAAATTTTTCTACTTTCAAGTGAAAATTTGCATAAAAGCTAATGAAAATTCAATCCACTTTTACAAATGATTTCAAATACTTTTAAGTTAGAAAGTTTTTTTTTCCCCATAAAAAATAAACATTTAACAAACTATTAAAATAAAAATAAATAAAAAAGATGTAATTATCTTTTTTTCTTTTTTTTTTTTTTGGGGGCCCCAAGGAGGTCATATGAATTTATTTACATAATTTTAGGGCAATTCTAAAAAAAAAAAAAAAAAAGCATTTGTGGTTTCTAAAATTAATTTATTTTAAGTTTGGTTAAACGATACGCATTTAACTATGCAAATATTTTGAGAATCATACGAAAACCAAAATAAATTTATATAATTTTGTAGAACTCCCAATGAAATTTGGAATCATTACAAAGTATTTTTTTTATTTTTCTTCAATTTTGTTAGTAGTTAATATTTAAGGAAAAAGTAAAATGTTTTTTTAATAGGGGCTTGGTCAATATCAACAGTAAAAATCAAACTGAAAGAAATTATTTGTTCAAAACATGATAATTCAATGCCGAAATTGATTAAATTGATAGTACAACCCTTAAGGTGCCACAATTTCAACAGTTCGGGTGTAAAAAAATACTATTAAATCCAAATTGGATGTCATAATGATCATTTATGTTGTGTAAATGATGATGTGAAAAGGTGCAAAGATAATTAAACCTTGGAGAAACGCAAAAATTATATAGTTTAAGGTAGTAAAATTATATCTTAATAAGTAAAAAAAATTATGATAAAATATGAGCCCAGAAAATGTTGTGTCAAAAAACAAAAGAAAAAATTATGATAAAATAATATTCACTCTCATACGGCCTAAGGGTACAGAGCCGACCTTTTATTTATT